TGAAACCTCCAGGAGGTACCCCCATTCAGGTGAACAGTAAATGTCCTGAGTATAGGCTATCAGGTAGATGCTGCTCGTTAATGTCCCTGGGTGAGAAAGAAAGTGTCCCAAGCTTGTCAGATTTAGACGATTTTGTGGGAACCTACCCGTCTGCATGATGTGTAGGCTCAGGATATCAAAGAAAGAGCTCTGCCGCCCTCCGTTCAGTCTGGCAACGTAACCCCTTTGACCAGCTGGTGGGCTGGAATTCCATCAGTGATTCCTCCTCTGCCCATCAGGACAATATAGTTGCATTTGAGCAGCAACACGTGCTTTGCAGGGATCATGGAATTAGTGTTTTGCAGAGGCCTCCATGGAGTGGACCATGATCACTCCCATGGCCCAAAGGGAGGGGGGAGGGCACCAAACAGCTGCATGGACAGGAGCAGAGATCGGCCACTTCTCCACCCCTCTAGGTTCACCAGGTCAACCCTTGGCTCTCCATCAGCGCGGACACCGTGAGACATCAAATGCTCTCTGGTACGTCCCCATGGGTTACAGGGGTATTTTAGAGGCAAGCTGAGTCATTAGTGGGGGTATAAACTGCAGGATTATGGCGATTTAGCAGTCTAAGCACCAGAGCTCATCCCGGATGCGTCTGTCCGCCATGGCCGCCATGGCCGCCAGACCCCACACCCCACTGTTGTTTTTTTTGACATATTGTATCACAAGCAATTTTATAAGCATTGCAGACATGCACATAGAATGTGGCTTTCAATAAAAAATGGAGAAAGTTTTTTTACTTTGTAAAGTAAAATGAAATATAATACATTCACCTGTAATAACTGCAAGTAATCCAGAGGATACCATCATAAATTGTCAGCATTTTAAAATTCATGGAAATAAAACAGAGGGCTGAGAATCAGAGGATTGTAACCAGGGTTGCCATCAGAACTCCTCTGCTTAACTTTCCCTTACTTTTACCTCTAAATATATGCTTTTTCACATCTTCTTTCTCCATGTGTCTTCTCTTCTACATTACTCTTTCTGTTCCTTCCATTACCTCATTGAACTTTGTGTCTGTTGTCATGCGCCTCTAGCCCTTAGTTCCTCCAATGACTGCCCAGTCTCTAGTTTTAGATATTCAGTAGATATACCCCACTTGCTGCTTGGTAGGTGGGGGTTACGAGAAGTGTCCCTTATTGTAATATGTGGTCTTATTGACCCACATAAACTTTTTATTTATTTTTTCATTTAACCCTTGCATTGGTTATTTAATTTTTTGCAAATAGTTCTTCGAATTATCGTTCGCTTGCATAGAAAAAATGTATATTCAGTCCCTGTTCAGTTTACAATTAGTGCTTTGTGAAACTTCTGAATCCTACACTTTGGATGTGAAAGTACCAAATTAAAGCATGAAAGATACCAAATGCATCTGGGCAATTGCTGCATATTCACTCAAGCTGACCGAATTCCAATCTATATTTGGTTTAAGTAAATCATTATTATTATTATTATTATTATTATTATTGCCATATATATAGCGCCAGCAGATTCCGTAGCGCTTTACAATATTATGAGAGGGGGGATTTAACTATAAATAGGACAATTACAAGAAAACTTACAGGAACGATAGGTTAAAGAGGACCCTGCTCAAACGAGCTTACAGTCTATAAATATGGGAATTGCCATTGCGGTTGGAATTCGGTCATATACACTGGATTTTGTTCAGATGGACAAAATTCAATGTTTAATGAATAAGCCGTAAGTCAGCTATGCTTTGTGTAACCTGTTTGGTTACTTTATCTTTACCATTAAAGATCAGCCTGAATTCTAACTTTAGTAAATAGCCCTGTTAGAAACCATATCAAAACAAGTTCTTCAGCTTCTAGTTTCTTTTCCACGTAACAGTTTAAATCCCTCCCACATAAAGAATATTTTCGTCACTCATATCCAGACGCTGGACAATTACCTCTGTCCCAAGAAACGCTCACATTTTTTTAAATATGTATTTTCCTGTTGCATCCGTGTTGCTTGCATTCATGGTTTTGGGTAAGCTTGCCTTGAACATTATTTGCTCTAATTTTAATTTTAATTTTAATTATAACATGTTTGGATATTCAAAAAAAAAAAAATTTGCAAAAATTCCTGAAACACTATCAGTGTTAGTTACTAAAGTGTGAATTGCAAGTGAACTTAACATTTAAGGCCAGAGTTGACGAAATGAAAGCATAGCTGACCGGTATTTTGATCTTGAATTTTAATTCACTTGAAATTCATCTCAAATATTCCCTTCACTCCTGTATATTGGAATTCCATTTGTGAAACAATTTAGATAAAATCTCTGATGACTGCCACTTTTAGAGGCTAGTTAACCCTACATTTTTTTTTATGGTTGTATGAATTCAAAATTAAATTTGACTCATGCCCATGGCTGTGTGAGTTATATAGCATCCCCTGTTGTGTCTGTAGCCAGGATTCTGCCAAGAAAAATATGGGGCCTTGACAGATTACAATGAAGTCCATTTGGATCAAAAGGGTTGAATGCACATCAGTCATTACAAGGACCAAGGATTTTTTTCAGGGAAAAAAAGAACATACTCATATGTAACAGAATGTCAACCCACATGAAACTGAACTCTTTTTGGACTTTATTTTGATTAACACTGGAAACGACCTAACTAGAAGTTCCCATGACCTACTTTAAGATCATAAGGGATACTTCTGTAAATCTAGGTTCTGTGTATTATTTAAGTCCCATTTTATTTTTAAGAACTCATTTTCACATTTGTCTATTTTGTTTTTTGTTTGTTCTTCTGCTTTATGCATTTTTGGCACTGTGGAAAATTTGTCTTTTCATTATTAAAATATTAATAATTTAATTCTGTCTTTGGGCTATAGTATCTGAATTCAGGTTACCTGAAGATATCAATTTGTTAGTTTTTTTTATATTTGAATAGATATTGTGCTAAATTGTGTTTGTGGGTTTAATCTACTTTGCTTGGGAACATCAAGGCTTCCAATTTTATAAATTGCCTTGGTGATGACGGCTTTTAGATCTTTGAATAAGTGTGGATGGTGCTAAACTGGATTTTTTATCATTTCCAGTCTAGTGCAGACAAATAGTGAGTGTTTACCCTTTAACCCCCAAACCAAGTCATGAGCATGCTTGGTGTAGTGTGCCTCCGTGACAGTGCTATTTAGGATACCAAACGAGGATGCTGTTTAGCAGCTAGCTCCCTAATTTGGTACTCTTATGTGGAATTGCCCTATTTAGGATACCAAATTAGGATGCAGTTTAGTAGATAGCTAACTCATTTGGTACCCTTTTATGGGACTGCTCTATTTCAGGACATCAAATTAGGATGCAGTTTAGTAGATAGCTAACTCGTTTGGTACCCTTTTGTGGCACTGCTCTATTTAAGGATACCCAATTCAGGTGCTCTTTAGCAGATAGCTCCCTAATTTGGTACTCTTATGTGGGATTGCCTATTTAAGAATACCAAGTTAGGGCATTGTTTAGTAGATAGCTTACTGATGCAGTACCTGTCTGTTGGATGGCCCTATTTAAGAGCACCAAATCAGGGTGCTCTTTAGAAGATAGCTCCCTTATGTGGGATTACCCTATTTAAGGATACCAAATTAGGGCACTGTTTAATAGTGCACACTGTCACATACACTGTCATTTACCAATACATGCGCACAGTCATATACGTGTTTATTTACCCATGGATGCACACTTCATTTACCATACATAAAGTCATACACACATTAATTTACCCATGCTTGCACACAGTCGCAAACATTGTCATAACCATGTACATAGTCAGTTGCTCATGTGTGCCACACTGTCATTTACCCATACATGGACATAATCATATACGTGTTCATTGATCCATTCATAAACACTGGCACATACACTGCCAGGTGTGCACAGTCATTGGCTCATGCATGCACACTGTCACATAGTCATTTACCCACATATGCACACAGTCACATACACTGTCATTTACCCATGCATTCACACTGTCTTTTTTCCGCACTTTGCACACAATCATATTCACTGTTATTTACCCATGCACGCACACAGACATATACATGTTCATTTATCCATGTATGCACGCAGTCATATATACTGTCATTTTACCTATTCATGCGTACTTATTTGTCCATACACGCACAGTTATATGCACTGCCATCTTCCTATGTGTGCAGTGTAATAATATTCCCTGTCTGCCTCTTTTACCCCTTCCCCAGCCCTAATGTGTCCCTATCCCCCTCAGCCCCTATGTGTGTGTCCCCAGCCCCTGTGTCTCTTTTGCCTCTCCCCAAGCTCCTCTGTTTCTCTTTTGCTGCCCCTCTACCCCATCCCACAGCCCGGGTCTATCTCTCTCTTTCTTTTGCTGCTCCTCCACCCCATCCCACATCCCTGCTCTGTCTCTTTTGCTGCCCCTCTCACCACCTACCATGGTAAAGGATCTTTTGTTTCCTCTAACTGGCCTGACAGTAAGTGCTCACAGAGAGCACCAAACACCTTCCTGTCAGGTCGGGGCTGAGGATACAGAAGATCATCTACCGCAGTCTATGGCTTGGCCACGCTACAATGCCTGACTGGCTGGAGGGTAGCGCTGTGCTATGTGCATCCTTCTTGCCGGTCAAACAAACTTTGCGCACATGCAGTTGGAAGTGCTGTTACCACTGCAGATCTCACGCGGGCCACCCCTCAATGTCTGGCGAGCCGCATGTTGGGCGCCCCAATTCTAGACATTTCTTTGAATGACTGGGTCGCCCATGTGCTTTTTGTACACATACAATATATATTTATCAAATGTAATATGCCCTCTAACACATCTATACCCTGGTGTAAACAATAAAAAATTTCTATAATGCTAATTATGTTCATCCATTCCCATTGTTCATTACTAATATTATTTTTTTACTCAGATTAGTTGCAGATACCACTCTCAAAATTAAAATAACCATTATCTTTATCATTATTTTTGTTCTTTTATTGTGCCCCAGGTGTAGGTCAATGCCAGTCAGACTGTAGTTACTATAATCTTATAAAGAACTTGGATCTGGATAATAACTTATTTGTTGTGCGCCCAACAATGAACTGGACAATTCCAACAATTGTATACGTGGACATGTACTTACATGCTATTATACACATGGTAAGAATCTTATTTCTTTATATCTTTCTAAGTAATACTTGGTCTGGTCAGTAGGTATGAAATATATGTTCAGCTAAACAAAATATAACTTTCAATTTTAATTTTAAGCATCTTTACCGTTCCCTTCTTATATCTGTTATATCTTGTCACATATATTATTACAGTTATAACATATATTCTTGTTTTCCATTCTTTTTGCTACGGAGTAATTAAGTGCATCAATGATACAATATCATACGATCTGTGTTGTTAATTCAGTCATTATAAAGCACTCTACTGAGCAGTAACAAACCATTATCTACTCAGAATTTATGAGGACCCATTTGTGTGTATATATATATATATATATATATATATATATATAGCCAAATTGAAAGTATAGGATGCACTCGCAGGACTTGGTGAAAAAAATGTAGTTTTATTTATTCAAGGTGCAAAACCTAAAACCAACGTTTCGACCTCTGCGGGTCTTTTTCAAGGTTACTGTAACCTTTTAATTAGGGTATACTATGTTTGTTATGTGTTTTTTCTTCACTATTTGTGATTTTTCTTTTCACACACTATTCTAATAAAATTAATTTTCTTTTAATATGCAATAATGCATGGTGTATTACCCAAGATTTTTTAGGGTTATATTTATCAATACATTAGTGAACTATCTACAAATTTCTAAAATTCATTCTGAGAATTTCCCTGTTAGGAGACGCCTTATTGTTATTAGCCTAGTCTCTCTAGCCTACTTCCTAGGAGTTAACCCGCCCTCCCGACTATAACAGGTGTTCCCATTCAGAATATATATGGTTCTATTCATTTTCTTTTGGTATGTTGGATATTATCCCATATACATTAATGGAGCCATGAGGATGAACTAAAGACCTGTGTTAAGGTAAAAGAGGAATATAAACTGCATTCTTACAGGGTTATTCACTAAAGTGAGAATCGCTAGGAGTTCAAAGTGAATTTAAAAATGTAGGTCAAAATAGCTAAATAAGAAAAAGTAAATTCTGTTTTTCAGTTTGGCTATTTTGGCCTTAAATTTGAAATACACTTTGAATTCCCAGCAATTCTCACTTTAGTGAATAGCTCAGTTAGTTTTGCTTGTATATGTTTGTGCGTTTCTCTTTTACAGTGAAAAGTATTCGATCCCCTGGTGATTTTGAACATTTTCCCACTGACAAAGAAATTAGCGGTCTATATTTTAATGGTAGTTGTATGTTAACAGTGGGAGACAGAATAACCCCCCCCAAAAAAAATCCTGAAAAATGCATGTCAATAAAGTTATAAATTGATTTGCATGTCAATGAGTGAATGAGCATTTGATCCCTTCGACTTAGTACTTGGTGGCAAAACCCTTGTTGGCATTCACAGTGGTCAGACATTTTTTGTAGTTGACCACCAGGTTTGCACACATCTCAGGAGGGATTTTGTCCCACTCCTCTTTGCAGATCCTCTCCAAATCATTAAGGTTTTGAGTGTTTGGCAACTCAAACCTTAAGCTCCCTCCACAGATTTTTATGGGATTAGAATCTGGAGATTGGCTAAGCCACTCCAGGACCTTAATGTGCTTCTTCTTGAGTCACTCCTTTGTTGCCTTGGCTGTGTGTCTTGGGTCATTGTCATGCTGGAATACCCATCCACGACCCATTTTCAATGCCCTGGCTGAGGGAAGGATGTTCTCCCCCAAGATTGGACTGTAAATGGCCCTGTCCATCATCCAATTGATGTGGTGCAGTTGTCCTGTCCCCTTAGCAGAAAAACACCCAAAAAGCATAATGGTTCCACCTCCCTGTATGACAGTAGGGATGGTGTTCTTGGGGTCTTAGGCCCTTCCAAAACACGTCGAGTTGAGTTAATGCCAAAGAGCTTGATTTTGAACTACTCCAACCACAACACTTTCACCAAGTTCTGCTCTACATCATTCAGATGTTCATTGGCAAACATCAGACGGGCCTGTACATGTGCTTTCTTGAGCAGGGGGACCTTGCGGGTGCTGCAGGATTTCAGTCCTTCATTGCATAGTGTGCTACCAATTACATAGAAACATAGAAAGATAGAATGTGACGGCAGATAAGAACCATTCGGCCCATCTAGTCTGCCCAATTTTCTAAAAACTTGCATTAGTCCCTAGCCTTATCTTATAGTTAGGATAGCCTTATGCCTATCCCACGCATGCTTAAACTCCTTTACTGTGTTAACCTCTACCACTTCAGCTGGAAGGCTATTCCATGCATCCACTACCCTCTCAGTAAAGTAATACTTCCTGATATTATTTTTAAACCTTTGTCCCTCTAATTTAAGACTATGTCCTCTTGTTGTGGTAGTTTTTCTTCTTTTAAATATAGTCTCCTCCTTTACTGTGTTGATTCCTTTATATATTTAAATGTTTCTATCATATCCCCCCTGTCTCGTCTTTCCTCCAAGCTATACATGTTAAGATCCTTTAACCTTTCCTGGTAAGTTTTATCCCGCACTATGGTCCCAGCTGCCTTGAGAGCATTAACAAGATCTGTAGTTCTGGGCTGATTCCTCACCCTTTTCATGATCATTGAAACTCCACGAGGTGAGATCTTGCATGGAGCACCAGACTGAGGGAGACTGACAGGTATTTTGTGTTTCTCATATTTGCGAATAATCGCACCAACTGTTGTCACCTTCTCACCAAGCTGCTTGGCGATGGTCTTGTAGACCATTACAGCCTTATGCATGTCTACAATCTTGTCCCTGACATCCTTGGACAGCTCTTTGGTCTTGGCCATGGTGGAGAGCAGGACCGGACTGGCCCACCTGGGGCCGGCAGACAGCTGTATGTGCTGCCGACCGCAGGGGGAGCTGTGATGGCCCTGTGGCCGCCATCACAGCTCCTCCTGTGGCCGCCAGCACAGACAGCTCTCTGCCCTGCACAACTTTTTTTTTTCCAGGGCTGCTTTGTATCCCCAGTCCGGCCCTGGTGGAGAGTTTGAAATCTGATTGATTGATTGATTGCTTCTGTGGACAGGTGTCTTTTATACAGGTAACAAAGCTCATTACCTGTATAAAAGACACCTGGGAGCCAGAAATCTTGCTGATTGATAGGGGATCAACTACTTATTTCACTCACTGACATGCAAATCAATTTATAACTTTTTTGACGTGTTTTTCTGTTATTTTTTTGTTATTCTGTCTCTCACTGTTAAAATAAACCTACCATTAAAATTATAGACTGATCATTTCTTTGTCAGTGGACAAATGTCCAAAAGCAGGTGATTAAATACTTTTTTCCCTCACTGTAAACCTTCTATTATACAAATTTATTCAGTACAGTGAGAATTGTTTAGAATTCAAAGTGAATTTAAAAAAAAATCACGTCTTATTTTTATTGGAGAAAGATACACAAATGATACATAGATTAATAATAATAATAAGTATATAATAAATACATAACATAATCAGAGTACACAAAACATCCTGGCAGATCGTATATCCCAAGGAAAGGTATGCAGATTCAGAGGCAGGGCAAAATATACATTGAATTGCAATATTCTTCAAGTCATATTACAGTTACCATACTCTAAATACCTATATAAATACAATTCGATTTATAACGTTAGTCAATTATAATACATCCTCATATTATAAAAATCATATCCTCAAATCTAGATTAGCGTTATAACTCAACTAAATTGAATTAACTATCTTTCCCATGGTTGCACACACAAAAAAAATAATAATAAATAAAATCAGGGATAATCAGAAATGTCTTATTGTACATAGTGAGCAGCAGCAATAGTCTAATGTACACATTTTAGTATGTTTCCTTTTCTTTTTACTTTTTCTCTTTACCTTTTTTGATATCTTTTCCTTCCTTCCTCTTTTTTTCTTGAAACAATTTTTCCCTTTTTTTCTTAAAGGAACACTATAGTCACCTAAATTACATTAGCTAAATAAAGCCGTTTTAGTGTATAGATCATTCCCCTGCAATTTCACTGCTCAATTCACTGTAATTTAGAAGTTAAATCACTTTGTTTCTGTTTATGCAGCCTTAGCCACAGCTCCCCTGGCTATGATTGACAGAGCCTGCATGAAAAAAAAACTGGTTTCACTTTCAAACAGATGTAATTTACCTTAAATAATTGTATCTCAATCTCTAAATTGAACTGTAATCACATACAGGAGGCTCTTGCAGGGTCTAGCAAGCTATTAACATAGCAGGGATAAGAAAATCTTAATTAAACAGAACTTGCAATAAAGAAAGCCTAAATAGGGCTCTCTTTACAGGAAGTGTTTATGGAAGGCTGTGCAAGTCACATGCAGGGAGGTGTGACTAGGGTTCATAAACAAAGGGATTTAACTCCTAAATAGCAGAGGACTGAGCAGTGAGGCTGCAGGGGCATGTTCTATACACCAAAATTGCTTCATTAAGCTAAAGTTGTTCAGGTGACTATATTGTCCCTTTAAGTTAAGTTTCCTTTTTTAGTTAAAGTAAAGTAGGTCTGTGAATAAACCAATTGGCCCATTTTTTTGTATGAATATGTTCTTTGCCTTTCATGCGATATGCTATTTGTTCTAAGTAGTATATATCATCTACTCTTTCTAATACTTCTTTTAGGGTGGGCGGAAGTGGGGAATTCCACCGTGCCGCAATACTAATTTATGTTGCTAAAAGAAGATGTATTATATATTTTTGCTGTAAATAAAACTCTGGTAGAAATAATAACGTAAGATCTGTTATTTGTTTAATAATTAAAGGACCACTCTAGGCACCCAGACCACTTCAGCTTAATGAAGTGGTCTGGGTGCCAGGTCCCTCTAGGATTAACCATTTTTTTATCAACATAGCAGTTTCAGAGAAACTGCTATGTTTATAAATGGGTTAATCCAGCCTCTAAAGCCTCTAGTGGCTGTCTCATTGACAGCGGCTAGAGGCGTTTGCGTGCTTCTCACTGTGAAAATCACAGTGAGAAGACGCCAGCGTCCATAGGAAAGCATATTAAATGCTTTCCTATGAGACTGGCTGAATGCGCGCGCAGCTCCTGCCGCGCATGCGCATTCAGCCGAAGAGGAGGATCGGAGGCGGAGAGGAGGAGGAGAGCTCCCCGCCCGGTGCTGGAAAAAGGTAAGATTTAACCATTTCCTCTCCCCAGAGCCCAGCGGGAGGGGAACCCTGAGGGTGGGGGCACCCTCAGGGCACTATAGTGCCAGGAAAACGCGTATGTTTTCCTGGCACTATAGTGGTCCTTTAATTCTAAAGAGTTCCAAAGTTGTAGCAGGTCTGGGCACTTCCAAAATACGTGTTCAACAGAACTTTTATCTTGTGAGCATCTCAAGCAATTTGGAGAAATATCAACATTAATACAAGAATGTTTCTGCGGTACCCAGTACCATCTCATCACAATTTTGCAAAAGGCCTCCCATTGTTTTAAACAATGCGAAGCAGCTTAAGTGATCTTTATAGTCTGAAACCATTGCTCTAATGGGAATATTACTCCTCTTCCTATTTAGACACATTTGGAAGTTTAGTGTCTGTGCCTATATTGGACAGTTCTATGTAGCATAGAGATAGTTACTTTCTTTTTAGCAAATGCCCCGTACATTTATGCCCAAATAGTGTTAAGTCTGTGGCATTGTATTTGTTTGATTAGTAATAATGTGTTTCAGTATTAGATATGTAAAATTTTCCCTTGGTAGGAGATGAAATTCTTTTAGAATGTTAGAAAATGGCTTAATGCTTATCTACCGTACTAATCCCCACTTTTACCCATTGTGTAATGGAAAGGTCTGTCGTTATCACTGACATTGTAACTGTCTGTAAAGGGGCTACAGTAAGTAGTTTACAGTTTCAGTGGCCAAGTGAATTAAAAATGTAACAACAAAATTGCCAAACTGGAAAAATTCTCCAAGTTAGCTATGCTTCCAGTTCAGGTATATTGGTCTTAAAGGATCACTATAGTGTTAGAAATACAAATATGTATTCCTAACACTACGGTGTTGGACTGTTTAGATGTCGCCACCAAAGTGAGTTATAAGATAGCTTATTTACCTGATCTCGTCATGGCTGGCCTCGCCTCCTTGGCTAAAATCATCAATCTTGATGATCTAAGCCAATCCAATGCTTTTCCCTAGAAAACCATTGGAGGCTATTGCGCATGTGTGACAAATTCTGCGCAGTGACAATCAGCATCTCCTCATTGAGATGCATTGAATCAATCAATCTCTATGGGCAGCATTCAGTATCTCCATGTCGTGCTTTACACAGTGCAGCACTGAAATAGGAAGCACTGTGTGACTGCCACTAGAGGTGTTACTAGGCAGCAATGTAAACACTGCCTTTTCTCTGAAAAGGCAGCATTTTTATTGCTCAACCTGCATGGACAGGCTGCAGACACCAGAACAACTATATTGCCAAACTGGGAGTTTGTAGACACTGAATTAAGCATGCCAAGTAGGGCGCCTACCATATACACAAGTCGCATAAGCCCAGACCATATGGCACCCCAGCCTCTTAACCCATAGCTGCTGCCCATGCCATCTTGTTTATACTCTTGCCTGCCACACGGACAGGCCAACACATAAGAAATCAGTGCCTCTATCTTAGACAGTGGTGACAATAGGTGACAATAGGTGACAATAGGCATTACCCGCACACAGCACAACACCTATAACAGCTCTCACCCTGAAATGTGACCCCACACACAGAGCCTTCACCCAGAGACGTCAATGCTGCTAAAAATAAGTTATGTTACAGTAAGATATGTTGCATAATGTTATGTTATACCTTTTCGACCACGAGAATGTCTGCTAATTTGCCAGAAATTCAATTAAAAAAAATTACATTCTTAAATAACTCTGATCGTGGTATCAAGAAATTGTGAATTTTGATTTTGCAAAAAAAAGGACAAAATGTATTGCTATTTCGATGTGACTCATCTTCCCTTATGTCTTTTAGGATATGAGTGAGCAGACTGTAACCTCATTTATAAGGTTTGTCATGGTAAGATAATGGTATGCAAACATTTTTAAATTCTCTTTTTGTGTCTAACAGCAGTATCCTAATGTACATGAGAAAAATTTTTATATTTTAGCACATTATAAAGGACTGGCACAAAGCAATATAATCACTACCGTTTAATGTGTTGGTTATGTTGGCTGGAGTCTCTGAGCAGCACTTTCCCCGGTTTTATGTCAAAACATTTAGATTTGTTTGATAAAAACAGGGCTCTCCCAGGCCTGTTGGAGACCATCTCCTCATTAGCCACAGTCATCAGTGTCAATTTCATCCACCCTGGATTGCTGTGATGTGTGCTGTTTGTATTTATAATTTGCCACTTAGATTGTTTTTTCATACACTGAAAGTATAGAGTTACCCCCCTCTTGGGTTTTTCCAGGAGTTACAGTGATAACTCTATGAAACTGTCTCTACAACATTATAAAACAGTAATAAAACATTGAAGAACCATTCAAATATATAGGGAAATAATATAAAAGTAGTAAAAGAAGTGAATTATGTTGTCAAAAGATAAGACTGCAATAACATATTTTATCAGAGAAAAAAATGGCAAAATATAAAGGTACAAAACAGGGCAGAGATGGAGTCCATGGGCATATAATACATAATTGAAATTAAAACACTTATTAGCAAACAAACACAACCCAGAATACGCAAAGCCACCCTATACGTCCCTAAATCACATGGTGATCTGGGACTGACAAATTTTACTCAATATTATACCGTTGCTCAACTTGCAGCAATCAATGGCTGAAATAAAGAGGTGGGTTAATCTAGATCACCTTATCGTTGATGTTGATTACCCTTCACGCCACATGTGGATACGCAGGTGACATCGTCCACTGATGCCCTCTACTTCCTCAGCCATCACTCACTCACTATAAATAAATCAAGGACAAATTGCCGATTTTAAGCCAATCAGCATTGGATTGGCTAAAATTGGCAAAGTCACGGGGCCAAACACTGTTTTGTACAATCAGCACCTCCTCATAGAGATGCATTGAATCAATGCATCTCTACTAGGAAAATTCAGCGTCCCCATGCATAGCATAGGGACGCTGAACGGCAGAGCTGCCTACAGATAACTGTGCCTACCTAGGAGTGGCCACTTGGAGGTGTCCCTAGGGGCAATGTAAACACTGTCTTTTCTCTGAAAAGGCAGTGTTTGCATGAAAATGCCTGCATATAATTGTTATACTCACCAGAACAACTACATTAAGCTGTAGTTGTTCTGATGACTATAGTGTACCCTTCAACCTTTTTCAAAAATGTGCATTGAAACACTGATTCAAAAGGTTCAAATATCTACTCTTTACATAGCATTAACGACACACTCCACACAGATTAGATTACCTTACATTACTATGTGGGAAGAGGATTCAGGGCATCCAGAGGAATCCAGTGATTGGTCGTATATTTGGGAGCCTACATTGTCACTCACTATTTGTGTTAATCACAAAGAGCAGACTTATAAGATGCTCTTCCCCTAGTACCTGAAACCCTAAAAGCTGTTTAGGATGCACGAGTCCCAACTAACCTGTGCTGGAAGGGTTGCGTTGAGGTTGTATCCTTTATTCACTGCTGGTGGACATGCTCTAATTCCCATCCTTCTGGGTTGAAATAACTACTTTGCTGAAATCTCCCGTGAATAAACCCTATCCTTTAGAAGCATGGGCTCTGCTATTCTCCAAGCCCTTGATTTTATGGAAACATCTCTTGAATTTGTTTGTAGCCTACTTCGCATAAGTGAATATCTCGATTTCAAGATGCACAGGCTACATACTACTGAAACTTGTGTCTCCAATGCTACCCCCTTTCCATAGTTTTAATTTGTATTTATTTATTTTGTTTCCCTCCTCTACTTCTCCTCTTCCTCCCCAGGCATCTCTCTCCCTCATCTTTCCTTACCCGTCACCCTTCACCCTTAGAGATCAAAGCTTCTTTTGAACCTCACGAGGCCTGACAAATATCTTATTACTGGTATAGGGCAAGAGTCTTTGGTGCTTAGCATTGCACATACCATACCAGGTCACCCTACCTGAAACTTAATTTCCGTGGTTGGGAACTCACATACTTGTTTTCAGCTCTTGTTCTCCCCTCTTCACTTCTTTCCTCTGCCTGTATTATTATTAAATGTCAGGTGATAACTGATTGCTCACGATTAAATGTCAGGTGATAACTGATTGCTTACGATTGGGTAGTAGGTAGTAGGTCTTATTAACCACAGCGGGACTTGCCCAATTGCACAATGTTACTCACATAATGCAGGTTTCATTGCCTTTCCCTGCTGTTAATCATTTGTCACAGTGTCACAGTATTTACTCCTATTGTCTGTATTGTACATCTGTAAATATAAATAAAGAATTTAAAATAAAAAAACACTTAGTAACAATAATAATATAGGCCAAATTATACTGCAGAATTATACCGCATGATATAAAATAAAAAATATATACATTTTGCACTAAATTATTAAGCAAACATTGTCCAACAACATTAGGAGTCAATGACTATAGAAAATTTTAGACAATACAAATGTTTTATTTGTATATATATATATATATATATATATATGTGTGTGTCCATCTTTATTATTTTTATTCTTAGACATGGACCAATGACTTTATTTCGTGGGACCCTAATCAGTATTGTGGAATTGATAAAGTGATGATTACTGGTGAGAATCTCTGGGAACCAGACATCAATGTATTTGAAACGTAAGCCAAAGTGTTGTTTATATGCTGATTGTGATAGATATTATATAAGTGTAGTCATATAATAACATACAGTGTGTCTGTGGATCTGGTGAGATAGCCACAGATCAACCACTGTTGATTTATGCACTTACTACATAGTTACATAGTTACATAGCTGAAAATAGACTTGCGTCCATCAAGTTCAGCCTTCCTCACATTTGTTTTTTGCTGTTGGTCCAAAAGAAGGCAAAAAAACCCCAGTTTGAAGCACAATTTTGCAACAAGCTAGGAAAAAAAAATCATTCTTGACCCCATTGACCCCAGAATGGCAGTCAGATTTATCCTTGGATCAAGCAGTTATTACCCTACATTGAAAGATTATATCCTTGAATATTCTGTTTTTGCAAGTATGCATCTAGTAGCTGCTTGAACATCTGTATGGACTCTGATAAAACCACTTCTTCAGGCAGAGAATTCCACATCCTGATTGTTCTTACAGTAAAAAAAACTTTCCTTTGCCTTAGACAAAATCTTCTTTATTCCAGTCTAAACGCATGACCTCGTGTCCTATGTAAAGTCCGGTTTGTGAATAGATTTTCACACAATGGTTTGTATTGGCCCCGAATATATTTGTATAATGTTATCATATCCCCTCTCAGGCGACGTTTTTCTAAACTAAATAGGTTTAAATTTGTTAACCTTTCTTCATAGCTGATATGTTCCATTCCTTTTATTAATTTTGTAGCTCGCCTCTGCACTTTTTCTAGTCCCATAATATCCTTCTTTAGAACAGGTGCCCAAAATTGCACAGCATATTCAATATGGGGTCTTACCAGAGGCAAAATTATATTCTCGTCCTGAGAATGAATGCCCTTTTTCATGCATGACAATACCTTACTGGCCTTGACCACTGCTGATTGACATTACACATTGTTGCATAGTTTGTTGTCTATAACAATTCCCAAGTCCTTTTCATGTGTTGTTATCCCTAATTTGCTTCCATTAAGGGTATACGTTGCTTGTGTATTCTTTACGCCGAAGTGCATAACTTTGCATTTTTCAACATTAAATTTCATCTGCCATTTGAGTGCCCAGTCCCCAGTCTATCTAAATCCCTCTGCAGCAAAGTAATATCTTGCTCACATTGTATTATTTTACAAAGTTTTGTGTCATCTGCAAACACTGAAACATGACTTTCAATGCTGTCTTCAAGATCATTTATAAACATGTTAAATAGAAGGGGTCCCAGAACAGACCCCTGAGGGACACCACTTGCCACCTCTGTCCAGCTTGAAAATTTACCATTAATGACAACTCTTTGTACTCTGTTTTTAAGCCAATGTTCTACCCAAGAACAAGCATTTTCATCTAGACCGATTTCCTTGAGTTTGAACACTAATCTATTGTGTGGAACTGTATCAAATGCCTTGGCAAAATCCAAATAGATCACATACACGGCAACACCCTGATCTATACTTCTACTTACTTCTTCGTAGTAAACTAGAATGTCATATTTATTTTGGCGCAATCTTTGAAGGGTAATTGTGATTGTATTGATGGGGTAAAAGATCATTGATCCTCAAAGGGGAACATTTTAAATATTATATTTTCTAATCTTTATGTTTAAAAATATGTAGTTGTGTGTGTAAAATAAAATTAATAAAGTTAAGAAAAGGTTACAAAGGTTCTTAAGGATGACCAATTGGCAGCCCTACAGATGCTCTCCGTAGGGACCCCGGACTCTGCAGCCCATGATGTGGCAATGCGCCTTGATGTCCTTGGAAACTGGCACCTTTTTCATCCTTTATGCTTTAGAAATAGCCTGAACTGTCCAAGATCGAAGAGTCAAGACAGAAACAGCTTCGCCTTTATGAGAACCCCAAGGTATCACAAACAATTGAGAAGATTTTCTCCAAGAAGCTGAACACTCAATATACATGGAAAGACACCTCCTAAGGTCTAGTGTATGACATTTTTCTTCCTCAGGTGAAGAAGGAATTTGAAAATACCCCGGCAGGATAATATCTTGATTCAGATGAAATGATGTAACGACCTTCGGAATGAACTCTGGTCTTGGCCGCAGTACCACCCTATCATCGAAGAAGGTAGTAAACGGTTCTTCAGATGATAATCCTCTAATGTCAGACATTTGTCTAGCTGAGACTAAAGCCAGCAACAACAGGGTCTTCAGAGAAAGAACTTGCTTAGGGACCTCACTGATAGGTTCAAAGGGATGTTCCGTTAAGGCCTACAGAACCAGAGGTAAATTCCATGGAGCTGAGAATTTTTTGATAGGAGATCTAATCCTAATGATAGCTTTGAAGAAGAAAATTACTGTGGGATTTAAAGCCCATCGAATTCCAGAAAGAGCTGAAAAAGCGGAACAGTGTACTTTAAGGGTGTTAAAATGAAGGCCCCTCTCCAGGCCTGTTTGCAGGAAACCCAAGACCTGGACACGGAAGGGGAACTTAAATCTTGGATTGAGGAATTTCCCCATAGCGCAAAAGCTTCCCATATCTTATGGTAAGTAGAGGAAGTAGAGGAATTCCTAGAACGCAACAGGGTCAAGATCACCTGGTCTGAAAGGCCTTGGTCAACTAGGGATTGCCTTTCAAAAGCCATGCATGAAGTCTGAACTTGTGAGGCTCCGGGTGAAACACCAGACCTTGAGTCAGCAGATCTTCTGAGACCGGAAGTTCCCAAGGCAGTTCCCTCGTTAATTGTTTCAACAGAGGAAACTAAGGGCGATATGGCCAGAAGGGGAGTACAGCTATCACCTTGCAATGTTCCTTGGAGATCTATCTCAGAACAGTGTGGATGAGGGGAAGATGTAGGCTAGATCAAAATCCCATCTGATGGAAAGTGCGTCATGAGCAACCGCCTTCGGATGGTATCTCTTCGAAACAAAGCACGGGGCCTGAGTGTTCCGAGAAGTCGCCATGAGGTCCACTTGGGGAAGACCCCACTTCTGGACCAATAGTGCGAAGATCCACTTTAAAAGTTGCCATTCTGATGCTTCTATCAGGTGTCTGCTGAGAAAGTCTGCTATTACATTCTCTTTCCCTGGGAGTTAGATGTCACACAGGCCCTCCACATGTGTCTGTGCCCAGGTCATAATGGGGATAATTTCCTGCATCACGACTACACGCCTTGTCCCTCCTTGATGATTTCTATAGGCAGCAGCCGCCTTGTTGTCCACTCTCAATTTGATCCAGGAATGTTGGATGATGTGTTGGAAATGAAGAAGTGCAAGAAAGGTAGCTCTCAGTTCCCTGATGTTGGAAGGTAAGCATTGGGTCCTTGGGGGCCATTTTGCTTGAAAATATAGACTCCCTAAATGGGCACCCCATCCGGCTGACTGACTGGAATCCGTCGTGATGACCACCCAATCTACTTCCATCAAAGGGAACCCTTGCGATATGCTTTCCCATGACATCCACCAAAGGAGCCTCCTTTCTAGAAGAAAAGGAATGCGGATCAATCTCTCCCAATCCCTTGAGCTGTTCCTGAAATTCTTCAGGAAAAATTGTTGAAGAGGGCGAAGGTTCCATTGCGCCCATCTGACAAGCTCTATTGTGGAGGAAAGAGTTCCTAGAAGTCTCATGAATTCTCTCGCCGTGGCTGAAGTCTGTAGACTGAAGCACCTTATATGATCTTGAAGTATGATCTTCCTCTCGTGTGCGAGGGATACTATTGCTGTGTTGGTAATGAAATTTGCTCCTAGGAATACCAGTTCTCTTTTTGGATGCAATTGACTCTTTTCGTGGTTGATGAGCCACCTGACGTGAGAGAGAGTGTCGAGGACTAGCTGTCTTTGTTGAAGCATGGACTTTAAGTCTGGAGCCACTACCAGGATGTTGTCTACGTAGTGAAAAACAGCTACACCTTCTTTTCTGAGAAGAGCAATGATGGTGACCAGAATCTTCGAGAAGGTCCTCAGGGTCTATCGAGATATGCATCCCTTAGGTCTATCGAGATCAACCGATCTTCGCGATGAATGACAGGAATGATGGAACAAATGGATTCCATTAAAAATCTTCTGACTCTCAGGTAAAGGTTGAGCTGGTGGAGATCTAAGATAGGTCTCTATTTCCCTCCTTGTTTCTTGATCAATAGGGGAGAATAATATCCCTGGAATCTTTCTCCCACAGGCACAGGAATGATGACATCTTCTAGGAGGAGACTGCTGACATAAAGAGTTAAGACCTTTCTTTTCTGGCTGTTGGTAGGAAGCCTTGTTCGAATGAACCTTGGTGGAGGAGGAAATTCTTCGAACTCCAGATGATATCCTCTGGTGATGATGGATTTTACCCATGCATCTAGAACGATTTCCCAGGCCCTCTGGAAGAATGACAGATGTGCTCCCACTCAAGGTACCTGGAGGAAGCCACCTTCAGAATTGCTTGTTGGGGCGAAAGGAAGAGGTCTGCGCCTTGTTCCTAGAAGACTTAATGTTCCGACCACTCTTCCAATTAGAATGCCTAGTGTAGTCTCTGCCCGGTCTGTAGGTTTTATTCTCTCTAAAATAACCTTGATCTCTGAAAGGTCTACGGTCAAGATGAGGTCTCTTAGGACGTCTATCCTGTGGCAGCATGACCTGTTTAACATCAGCAGCTTTTTTAATAGCTTCATCCAGTGGTTTTCCAAAAAGTACCTCTCCCATAAAAGGAAGGGTACACAAATTATTTTTAGAGGAAAGATCCGCTCCCCAGGACCTTAGCCAAAGTGCCCGTCTGGCGGTGACAGAATGAGCCATAACCTTAGAGAGAATTCTAATAAGGTCTGTAGAGCATTCCAAAAGCCAGTGACTGGTGAGTTTAATATCCCTTAAGGATTCAGCCATCTGACGTCTGCTTACACCTCTGTACAGGTCTTCCTCCAAATCAAGGATCCAGGAACGCAAGGCTCTGGACAAAGCTGAAATGCATACAGCCGGATGGCATCCTAGTCCCGCAGTCATGAAGACCTTATATATATCAGCATCAATCCTTTTATCCATTTGGTTCCTTTAGGGAAGCATTGCTATCTATTGGAAGCGTGGATCTTTTTGCTACCTTAATGATAGGAGCATCTATTTTTGGGACAGCTGTCCACATTCTAGAATCTTCCTTCTTAATCGGATACAACTTGGAAAGTCTTCCTTGACTAGTAATCCTTTTACCTGGATTATGCCACTCGTTCCGCATCAGATCTTTAATAGAGCTGTGAACCGGGAAAGAAGGTAATTTCTTGTGTAAATCACCAAAGTGTCTGTCAGAAGCCGAACATTCCTTGACCTCTTCAGGTAAATCTAATGTTCTAATCTGGGTGGTGATTTTAGGAGTTATATAAGGGTTGTTGTCATTAGCTTAGCTAATATAGCTTGGTTGCTTCATTTAAGTGCTGCTTCTAAGTGTGTGGTTGGATATATTCTGGAGAGTTTTACAGAAGCTTCAGCTGTATAAGATTTTACTAAGAGTTTTCTTTTCTACTGTTACAGGTAAGATTCATCTGTAGGAAAAGGTTACTGATTGTACAAGGTTTGATTTCCTGTTGGTAATTTGGTAAGGCATTTGATTTGATTAAGCTAGTTACTTGCTATTGATTCCGAGTTAATTAGCTATTGTTTGCAAATAAGAAGAGGCCTACCCAGGTGTTAAACATTCCTAGTGGGTGGTGATTTTAGGAGTTATATAAGGGTTGTTGTCATTAGCTTGGCTAATATAGCTTGGTTGCTTCATCTAAGTGCTGCTTTTAAGTGTGTGGTTGGAGATACATAATTGAGAAAAGGAAAGTAAAACAAGGATTAGTTAGATTAAAAACAAAAGAAGGAAGGTATGTAGATGAGGATAAAGGTCTAGCTGACTGCCTCAATTAATATTTTTGTTCAGTATTTACAGAGGAAAATGAAGGAAAGGGACCTCAGTTAGGAAAAAGAACAAATAAGTAATTTATTACATGTGAGTTTACAGAGGAGGAGGTTCTATTTCAACTGTCAAAAGTAAAGACAAATAAGTCAATGGGACCTGATGGAATACACCCAACGTTATTAAAAGAGCTTAGTGGTGTACTAGCAAAACCATTAACAGATTTATTTAACCAATCATTGTTAAAGGACCACTCTAGGCACCCAGACCACTTCAGCTTAATGCTATGTTTATAAATAGGTTAATCCAGCCTCTAATGCCTCTAGTGACTGTCTCATTGACAGCCACTAGAGGCGTTTGCGTGCTTCTCACTGTGAAAATCACAGTGAGAAGTCGCCAGCGTCCATAGGAAAGCATTATGAATGCTTTCCTATGAGACTGGCTGAATGCGCGTCTCGGAAGATATATCTGATGTTGTGATTTAGGACTGTTTTATGAATATTTTATCACTTAGTCATGAACGCTGGCCAAAGTTAGCGTTTTTATTCGTTTTTTTGCATTTTTTTTTAAACAAACTGCACTTTTACTGGTGATATCATCGTCATAATACGTTTTACTTTTTAAAACACTCATATTTGTGTTCAGCGAAGTCTCCCGAGTATAACTGTGATGAGATTCCAGCATGGTCAAAATTTAGTATGCTGAAATCTCCACATGGCATATGCTAATTAGTATCTGATTACAAACAGTTGGATGAGTCATCAGTATATTGAGCATATGCAGGAATGCAGGAACTGAAATCACACTCCTTTCTCCTTTGTTTCGGATGAGCCATGTGGTCATATAAGGTGATCCTGCATATCCTGTGTGCTGATTGGTCTGAGGAATATAGGAGGGGTTATACTGTATGGGAGAGGATATGCTGCTAACAAAAGGCCTCTGAACCATGCTTTCTGCCTCTCAGATATTTTTGGAACAGGAGTTCATCTGAGACCCGATCGGTGTGTAAATAAAAGACCTGTTACTTCCTGAAGACTTGTGTCCATATCTCTATGTGTGGCTTCTGCGGTTTGTTCCTGTTCCTCGGGTAACATTTTTGGTGCATTGGGTCCGGGAACCTCATCACACGGAAGCTGGCGCAGAGATTTGAGACGGTAAACTTTTACCAACGTTCTCCACGGCAGCACCCCTGAACTTCTGCTTGGACCTCCTTTCGTCTCGGAGCCACAGGCCTTTTGTCCAGGAGATCATCGGCCTTTATGTAGTAAGTACCGGGGGGGGTGCCCCATCGATGAGTGTAAACCCAGGTCCAGGAACTAAAAGGTAAGACTGATACCGTTAGAGTGGTAGGCCCACAAGGAGTTTTATATTTGGAACCGGTTATTGGATTGCCCCCTCCCTCTGGAGGGAAGAAGCGGAGGCGCACCACTTATCTCGAAATTAGACACTCTGTACTCAGCCCGTCTAATATAGGTAGTTTGGGTCAGGCTAAATCTTGGTGTAAATATGCTGGACACCGGTGTCCTGTCTTGACTAGCGTGTCTAAGTGTAAATTTCGGTCGCTAGGTTGGGGAGGCCGGCGAAACTAAGCAGATTCTGGTGTACATTCCGTCTGCTAGTTCTCAACCTATCTTGGCTAAGTGTGCCCGGTTGTATTACATAGTTACATAGTTACATAGCTGAAAAGAGACTTGCGTCCATCAAGTTCAGCCTTCCTCACATTTGTTTTTTGCTGTGATCCAAAAGAAGGCAAAAAAAAAAACCCAGTTTGAAGCACAATTTTGCAACAAGCTAGGAAAAAAAATCATTCTTGATCCCAGAATGGCAGTCAGATTTATCCTTGGATCAAGCAGTTATTTACCCTTGTAAATTCAGCCACTAGACTATTGATAGAGTAGATAGACTAAATGGGTACTGTTGTAAATTCCGCCCACTAGTTCGCTATATGTGGTGCTTGGGCAGCGTAGACTAACCGAATCCTGGTGTAAACCGAAACCTGGTGTAAATAGTTCGATAGTTCTCGAGGTGCTGGCCAATTAGAGTAGTTGGGTTTGCTGTAGTTACAGAGCTACATAGTTACATAGTTACATTGCTGAAAAGAGACTTGCGTCCATCAAGTTCAGCCTACCTAATCAAGTTCAGCCTACCTGTAAATGTTGTAAAATACGCTGTAATTGGTGAAATGTATGTCCTGCTAGAAAGCTTGAACTCTGCCGTTTAGCGGACGTGTAAATTGTGTGTATAGTGTAAAATAGCGCACGGTACCATAACCACTGACATGTACCATAACCACTGACTTGTACCATAACAACTGATATTACGTGAAAAATACTAAAATTACTGTTTAACCTTGCATGTGTACTAACTGATATTGTAACTTTAAAGTCATAATTGTCTAAACTGTATAATAGTTACTAACCGTACCATAACCACTGACTGTAGAGACAAAATTGTTGAAATGTTATGCTATCGGTTAGTTAATGTTGATTTATTGTGTGGACAATTGTATGACTTGCTTAATAGTTGCATTGATTGGTATATAGTGTTTGTTGAGTCTTGATTTTACTTGTGTGTGCAACGTCGTGATATTGTTGAGCATGTGAGGATGCTGTTTGTGCGTGCACATGTGTGTTTGGGCCTAGTAACTGTGCGATGTGGTGCTGGTGATAAGGAGATTGGTATGACTGTTCAAACTATGTGTATATTTGTACAGCTTTTGAATCAGACGTTCTGTTGAAATCATCTTCTGATTCACAAGGCTGTTGGTCCTTTGTCTTGTATGTTAAATAAAAAAATAAAAAAACCTGTGTAGTAGGGAGTGGCCTGTCAGGTAGGCCGCATGGCCTCCATGTGGCAGTTTTGACTTAAATTTAGTGCAGGGTGTACATGTGGCTGTAACTAGTAGGCCGGAATTCTATGATCACTTTCCATATATTGACTGTTGGAAACCGATTGTTGAAAAACTGCCTTGGTGAATTAAACTGTGTCATGAGGAACAATGGAGCCACATGGTGGTCAGAACTAAGGCCTTAATTCTACCTAGTTTGGACACCTCACCCCCTTGCATCTGATTGCCAACCCCCTTATTCATCCTCCAGAGCCAGAGTAGCCACTCCCCCACTCTTCCTCCCAAGCTAAAACTGGTGTAGCTGTTATTTGCACTCCCCCTGCTCTATTGTCCCCACCTACCCACATACCTATCTGTTACATTGATATTACATTGTTTAATCATCTTTAACTCTATACTGGCATACAACAGACAGAAGTAGGATTGCTTACCCTATTTTAATATATTTATTGCTATAAGGTTTTATTTTATGTATAAATATATTAAAAGTTAAGTTTTATTATTAGACCCATAAAGATTATTTTGATACAATTACTTACCTTCTGGTGACACCTACTGGTAGGTTTTTGGTTTAACACTTTTTTTATTTTTTTCATCCACCAAATGCTGGCTAGTAAAATTAGGTCACCCCCTTCCACCTATCTTACTACTCCCAGACCGGAACCTATTACTGAGCAGCCTTGCCGAAGTCCCATACTAACCCGACAATTGACTGGCACCCTTCCGACATTGCCAAATGCCCCTCTGACTTACACCGGGCCCAACATACGTTGATGGAAATAGCCAAATAAAACGGGCAGATCCAGTGTTTGTCTATGTCCCTTCACCACAACTGATCTATTCAATTGGAAGACTCATAACTCTTCGTATACCGACAAACCTCAAGTCATGACAGATTTGGTTACCTCTATTATACAAACACACAATCCCACCTGGGCCGATTGCCAGCAATTATTATTAACTTTATTTAATTGTGAGGAAAGGACCCGGATTAATCAAGCGGCTATTAACCCCTTAAGGACACATGACATGTGTGACATGTCATGATTCCCTTTTATTCCAGAAATTTGGTCCTTAAGGGGTTAAAGCGCTTGAGGAAACGGCCTGTACTCAAAATCAGGCCAATCCAGCTGCATGGGCTGCAGCCCATTATCCAAATGTTGACCCAAATTGGAATGTGAATGGTGCTGACATGCCCCAATTAAGGGCTTATCGGGAAGCCATTATTGCTGGAAGAAGGCAATCAATATATCAAAGACGGCTGAGATGTTGCAAAAGGTTGATGAGTCACCTAGTGCCTTTTATGAAAGATTATTGGAGTCATATAGATTGTATACTCCTCTTAATCCAGAGGCCCCTGCGAATTCTCGAATGATTAACTCAGCATTTGTCAGCCAGGCCCAAGGTGATATTAAAAGAAAATTGCAAAAGTTAGAGGGATTTGTAGGGATGTCCATATCACAGCTAATGGAGATCGCAAATAAAGTATATATGAATAGGGAAACTGAGACAAAGCATGAGGAGGAACGTAAGATGAGGAAGAAAATAGACATGTTAGTGGTAGCTATTTCAGGCGTAGCTAGAGAAGGAGGGGAGATGAATAGAGGAGTTGAGAATAGGATCTCTAATCCACCAAATTTTATTGATAAGTTTGGAAATCTATTTGGGTTCAAAATACATGGTACAGAAGTAGGTCCAGGGACCATAATATATGTAGGACTTGAAACTGAGATTACAGCTTCTCAGACTCATCAGGTTTTGCATTCCTTCTATGAGGAGATGAGTGTTGAGGATAAAATTCCCCATAATGTTACATATGACATCTATCATAGGCCATGTATGTTTAGCTAGGAAAGGGCCATTGTATACCACACCTGTTGGCAAGTTAATATGTCTAGGACAGAAAGCCTATAATGCCGATACTAAAGATACTACTTGGTGGTCAGCTTCAAATGTCTCAGAGTCTACTAATCCGTTTACCAATTACACCCATTTAAAAGAGGTATGGTTTGACTTATCTGCTACATCCAATTGGAAAGCCCCAGCGAATTTATATTGGATCTGTAGTAAGAAAGCATATTCAGAGTTACCACAAGATTGGGAGGGAGCATGTGTATTAGGTATGCTCAAACCATCCTTCTTCTTGTTGCCAATTGAGACAGGAGAGACATTGGGAGTTAAGGTTTATGATGTGAATCATAAAAAGAAGCGAGCATCCTTGAATATAGGTAGTTGGAAAGATGAGTGGCCTCCCCAACGTATCATAAATTACTATGGACCTGCTACCTGGGCTGAAGATGGTACTTATGGATATAGAACCCCAATATATATGCTCAACCATATTATAAGACTACAGGTGGTGGTTGAGATTATCACCAATGAAACAGCGCAAGCACTTAATCTTCTAGCTAAGCAAAAAACTCGGATGAGATCAGCCATCTATCAAAATAGATTAGCTCTGGACTACTTATTAGCAGTAGAGGGAGGTGTATGCAGAAAGTTTAATCTTAGCAACTGTTGTTTGAACATAGATAATGAAGGGCAGGCAGTGACTGAACTTACAAGCCACATGGTTAAACTTACGCATGTACCGACTCAGGTCTGGAATGGGCATAATCCTAGTAGTTGGTTTGGAAGTTGGTATGAGCAGCTTGGAGGGATTAAGGCGTTAGTAGGAGGAGCAATATTCATTATATTCTTATGTCTCTTTCTGCCCTGCCTAATTCCATTAGTGGTCAGATCTATACGTAGTATCATAGAGAGTACTCTAGAAAGAAAGACAGCTGTTCATGTAATAGCTGTCTGGAAGTATGAACCTCTAGCCCAGAGAGAGAACATATTCAGGATGAGGAATGCTGAAGGAGTTTGTGATGATGCTAAGATGCTTACAAGGTCTGCTCTGGTCCATGGCTACTTGAGTGGTGTTGGCAAATTATGGTTAGTGATGCATCTGGAATAATTTTGTATCAGAGGCATCAAAGGGGGGAATGTGATGGGATTCCAGCATGGTCAAAATTTATTAGGCCGAAATCTCCACATGGCATATGCTAATCAGTATCTGATTACAGACAGTTGGATGAGTCATCAGTATATTGAGCATGTGCAGGAATGCAGGAACTGAAATCACACTCCTTTCTCCTTTGTTTCGGATGAGCCATGTGGTCTGCCCATATAAGGTGATCCTGAATATACTGTGTGCTGATTGGTCTGAGGAATATAGGAGGGGTTATACTGTATGGGAGGGGATATGCTGCTAACAAAAGGCTTCTGAACCATGCTTTTTGCCTCTCAGATATTTTTGGAACAGGAGTTCATCTGAGACCCGATCGGTGTGTAAATAAAAGATCTGTTACTTCCTGAAGACTTGTGTCCATATCTCTATGTGTGGTTTCTGTGGTTTGTTCCTCCAGTAACATAACAATACCCCCCCTTCTCCCATGTAAAGGTGTTATGGTGTTTTGGAAAGTTGCGGGGTTAAATATAGGGTTTGCCAATTAAATTCTCTGGGCTGCCTGCCTGGTTGTCAGGCAGGTCCCTCAAATTATAATTAATAAAATCAAATAATTATGTAAATTTAATATATATTAATATATATATAGTTAATACAATGCTAAACACAAATCTGCACACCAGTCAAGCCATAAGACTTGCTTTTTCCACAGAAATCACAAATTTGCAGTGTTGTTACTACCGCAAAGGATTCTGGGTGGGCATATGCAAATTAGTTTAACAAAGAATCACATTTTTGCCTCATTCCATTTTAAACATGGATTCCTTTGAGTCTGTGTTTGCTGTATACAACAGCTTTGAAACACAACTTAGGAAAAGATGCAAAGCCAGTGAACCACTCATGGACAACTGTTTCATTGTTAATGCAACTCATCAGCATGAGGTTGGTAATTGGTTTGCTATTGAGACTTGGTAGTGCTTGGTAAGCAAAAATGAAAAAGGTTATGGTGAGAGAAAACCCCTTCCACCTGAAGTCTGTGGATAGTTAACATGGATTCCTTTGAGTCTGTGTATACATGTGTGTGTGTGTGTGTGTGTGTGTGTGTGTGCACTGAACAAAATTATAAGACTTTTCCCATGTACACAAAAGGCCTATTTCTCTTAAATATTGTTTACAAATCTGTGTATATCTGTGTTAGTGAGCACTTCTCCTTTGCTGAGATGATTAGACAGCATGATTATTGCACAGGTATTTTTTTTTTTTTAAAGGCAGATAGGGTTTTCCTCAGAAGACATATTTAAATGTATAACAAAAGTAAACTAAAACTGATTTATTATGCTAAAGTAATTTCAGTGATTATAGTTGTGACGGAGCTCTCTGTACCCGTGGCTCGGTACCTCCGCCAAGGATTGCTTCATAGCTGGTACAGGGGGAAAATTGCAGCACTTCTGCCCACAGTGGCTTGACTAGGGCCCTGGAACCGTTCCCTCCTGGAGCCTAATGGGGAACTCGCTCTATCCACCCCCAGGCACTGGACAACACTCACTCCTGGGAGCCCTAGTTCTTACAAGGACTTTCCCCGTTGAATCCTACAAGCTGGAACAAGCTGGAACAGTTATTAGCCATTTCCCCTCCCAGTAACCAGATGACACATAGTTCTGGAATATCTTTATTGGCAGCCACGACTGGCCTTATATGCAGGTCCCCATGGAAGGGGCACTCCCATGGACCTGAGAGTAGACTTCAGTAAAAATATACACACAATTACAGATATACACACTCAGGTCCAGGACACTCCAACATAAAACAAGATAATCCCTCCTCTGTGTCTGGGAGATAATTGAGTCAAGCACTGTATTAAACTCAATTACCTACAGGCGTAAAAATAATCACATTTCCTAAACACCCCAAAAGTACCTTAAAATACATAAAGCCCCCTAAAGTTACATCCACTGATAGCCCCGATCTGGATGACCAACATATCCAAAAATCACCCAGATTGGTTCAGGGGTACAGGATTTTCCTGGAAGTCATAATTTGACTGACCGCACCCAGACGAATACTTAGAACACTGCGGTGGAAATTGCTACAAAGTACCAATTAGGCTTAACAAGCTCCAGGGTGGTCTCCGGTTCGTGCGGCTGTTTGATTCCCGAACCATATAGTCCAAATACATTAATGGAGACTTTCACATCACATTTTTCAGGGTTCATAGACTGTGGGCAGGAAGCTGGCAAGCAGGCTCCTCCAGGAGCTCGTGGCAAACTCACTTGGAAAGGGGAGTTTGTCACAATAGTGTCCCCTTAAGTAAACGTAAATCACACATTTGATATTCATCAACAAGTTAACAACTGGCAATAATCCATTAGCGATGTTGAATTAATCACAATCTTGTTGTTCCAATTATTTTTGTTTTAGTTTTCTATTTTTGTTATGCATGTTTAGGCATTCAGGATATTGATGACATACCAAACAAGAGTAAATGTAGTAAGAACAATGCAATCATGGTAAAAAACATGTCATAGGACACTTTTTAGGTTAAATAGCATGAGTGAAATAAGCATGTCTCTCTATGAGGGTAATTAAAAGGTTGATAAACAGGATTGTGTAAGAGTATTACATGTTACTGTCTTAACAATTTGGTGATAACAGGTCAACATAAGAGATAGTAAGATCAGGCTATAAGTGGCTGTAACCCCCAGGCAAGGGGGGGAGTAGGGGGAAAATGGCATTCCAATAATTTTGAATACCACTTTGCCATTCTCAGTGATTATTATCGGTGATACAGTGCACTATATATGGTGCATCTCTCAAGAACACCCTTGCAAAATTTGGGTTGAAACTGCAGTTTAAAATTAGGGGTATGCCACGCTCTATATAACAGCAACCATATACTGTTAAATATCAGACTCTGTACAGGTTCTTAAACAGCTATTTGATAAATACTTGCAAAAGCATAATATACAGGGATAATATTTTTAATCAGTGGGGTAATAGATTCTTGATCCAGGAAGATATCTGACTGCCATTATTGGGTCAAGAAGGATTTTTTCCCTAGTTTGTTGCAAAATTGGAAGCTCTTCAAACTGGGTTTTTTGCATTCCTTTGTATTAACAGCAAAAACAAATGTGAGAAAGGCTGAACTTGGTGGACATAAGTCTCTTTTCAGCTATGTAACCATGTAATTATGTAACCTGCATTTAAAAGCCAAATAGATTGGGGCCCATGATGAGTGATCACAATGGGAGTTGGTTAAAATAATACCATTACCTTGTTAATTGTCTTAGTAGTCAGCTAAAACATGAAATTATTGGCAATAGATCCCAAGTCAATCATCGAGCCAGGGAACCAATCTAAGTCTATTGTTGGACTGTACTCACTACTTTTACAGAGACTGCCTCCAGCCCTTCCACATGGTATGGAATCAGAATTCTGCAACAGTTTGTCACAGCATTTCAAGGCCTGAGCAGTCTCTATAACAGTATTGCTGAATGCCTCATTCTTGAGACATCTAGCTGTAGCCTGGGACATGCTTTAATCAGCATCTTTAAGATTGTACGCTCATATGTGCAGGGCCCTCTTTACCTCCTGTTCTCATGTGTCATACATGTTTTGTTACTTAAATGTTCGTCTTGTTACCTATTGTACAGCGGTGAAGAATACATTGGCTCTATATAAATAATTGTACTGGGTGTTCCACTGCAAACAGTAATGAACTGTAGGAAATATATTAAATGACTATAGCAGGAATGCCTTGCTTAAAGGGACACTGTAGGCACCCAGACCACTTCAGCTCATTGAAGTGGTTTGGGCACAATGTCCTATCACCCTTAACCCTAGAGTGGTAATTATTGCAATTTTTATTAACTGCAATAATTACCTGCTAGGGTTAACTCCTCCTAGTGCCTGTCTACCAGACAGCCACTAGAGGGATATTCGGGCTCGAAGGCGACTTTTGGTCGCTTAAACAACGCTGGACATCCTCAGGCTATGCATGAGTACGTCCAGCGTCACCAAAATCTCAATAGGAAAGCACTGAATAATGCTTTCCTATGGGGAAATCCTAATGCAAGTGCAGCCATTGCCACGCATGAGCATTGGTCTCCCCTGCCAGCTGACGTTGGTGGGGGAGGAGCATGGGCGGAGTTGACAGAAGGTAAGTGATTATTAAACCCTTCTGCACCACGGGGGAAGGGAGCATTGACCAAGAGGGAAACTATAGTTTCCGTTTAATAAGAGGAGGGCTGGTGCAACACCTTTTTCTCGTTGTTTTTAATGCAACCTCAGCCCATCCAGGTAGTTTATGACATATACCCTTTGTCCAGCACAGTACTATTAAGTCTCCTTTACAGGTTTCCAAGATGGAGCTAGTCACAAAGCTGAACTAAGCTCTTATAAGCAGCTGCTCTCTTCCTAGGCAGAAGTTTTATTCATTTGATGAACTGAACACAACGAGAAAGCCAGGATTGTCTGAAAGATAGTCTGCTCAGTTGTCGGGGAAGAGTTTATTGCAAAAAGCTTTAAAACCTGCGGAATACCAGCAAATATAAAATAAACTTTTTTTTATTTAAAATGTTAGTATGTTTTTTACATTCTATATCAGGGATAGGCAACCTTTTGGTAGCACTTATGGTCCCGACCCTATATTATTGAAATAAAGTTTATGTATGTTGATAAATTCTTGAGTTATGTAAAGGTGTGGAGGATAGTTTGTATAGTTGTACATGTGTGGAGCTTTAGATATGTATGTGAGATGTCTGTGGTGTTATGTGAGTGTACATACGTGCTGTGTATAGTGTTGTTTTTTGTATTGTGTGGATATTGTTTGTAGGTTGAGTTGCCACCTTTCTTGGAAAAAAATACCGCCCATGCTAATTTGCATAATCAATTAGTGTAGATTAGATTATCCTTTTTAGTCCCGTAGACAAGATGCCAAAATACCAGAGTATTTCAGTATGCAATGATACCTTTTATTGGACTAACATAGACAAGCTTTCAAGAGTTTTCCTCTCTTCCTCAGGTCTGAAGCAATACAGATCAATCTGATAGAGTTTAACACTTAAAACAACTGATGTTAGAGGAGGGGAGGGAACGGGGTGTCATAAATAGCAGAAGATGTGCCTGGAAGTGAAAGGTGCAGGTTGGCTGAGAATAGCCAGAGAAGGTAAATAAACAGAGGAGAGTCAATAAGCTTGACGGACGACGGACCCGGTCCATCATGCTGGGGAAGCACTTAACGACGGATGACGGACCTGGTCCGTCATTGCGCAAAAATTACCCCAGATCGCCGCCATCGCGGCTATCGCGGGGTTAACCTGCCCACGATTGCACTGTCCCTGCAGCTGTAATTACTCCTGGTCCGCCTCCCTGCACTTCCGCGTTCAGTGTGAAGTGTAGGGAGACGGATCAGTGCTGGACGGATTCTCCCTGCAAAAAAACCCCACAAAAGTTAAAGTTAAATACCACCCCCTCTCCCGTGTTTTAATAAAAGTAACCCCTTCACTGACATTTGATCACTGACTACAGTGACCATACATATAACACATATACATATACAACAGATAATACACTTTGTATAGGATAAAATAGTGCCTGGTTACATCAATATATTAACACCAATATATTATGTGAGAAAGCACAGAGTAGTGCAAAGATAGAGGTGAAATAAACGTGAGGTATTAAAACTTTAAAATATTGATACAAAAGAATAATATATAACTTGTATTTGTTACTAAATGACCTTATAAAATACTATTTATCTCAAAGTCAATGTTAAGACCCATAGGTGTTAGGGTGCTCATTTCAAAGATCCATTTTACATCTTGGGTACTCAGTTTTTGGGGGAGATTTCCTCCCCTCCAGTGCAATCTCACTTTCTTTCTTTATAGCACAGAATTCTAGGGATTTTGGATCTGATCCATGTTTCTCTAGAAAATGTTTGGATACACTGTGGTTTGTGAATCCTTTCTTTAAGTTCTTTATATGTTCACCCATTCTGGTATTTATGGGTCTTGATGTCTTTTCTATGTATCGATATCCGCATGTACAGTTAAGTAAATAAATTACATTGCTCTTATGGCATGTAATCAAAGATTTAATTTTGAATAATTTTTTTGTAACGGATAAACTAAATACTGTTACATTTTTGTTCGATATGTCTGTATTTTTACGTGCATTACACATACCATAGTGAAAAAACTTTTTGACTCCTTGACCAATTAAATAAAAAATTATTAATTGTTATCCATGATTCATTTTCCTAGAAAACTGTTCGTTAAAATTTGTTTAAAATGTTTTGCCCCCCCTAAAAATGTTTCTTGTAGTTGGCCACCAGGTTTGCACACATCTCAGGAGGGATTTTTTCCCACTCCTCTTTGCAAATCCTCTCCAAGTCATAAAGGTTTCGAGGCTGACGTTCCCTCCACAGATTTTCTATGGGATTAGGGTCGGGAGACTGGCTAGGCCACTTCGGGACCTTAATGTGTTTCTTCTTCAGCCACTCCTTTGTTGCCTTGGCTTTGTGTTTTGGGTCATTGTCATGCTGGAATACCCATCCACGACAAGTTTTTAATGCCCAGGATCACCCAAGATTTGACGGTACATGGCCCCGTCCATCGTCTTTTTGATATGGTGCCGTAATCCTGTCCCCTTAGCTGAAAAACACCCCCAAAGCATAATGTTTCCACCTCCATGTTTGACAGTGGGTATTGTGCTCTTGGGTATTGCAGCATTCCTTCTCCTCCAAACACGTTGAGTTGAGTTGATGCCACGGGGCTCGATTTCGGTCTCATCTGACCATAACACTCTCACCCAGTTCTCCTCTAAATCATGTGGATGTTCATTGGCAAACTTCAGACGGGCCTGTACATTTGCTTTCTTGAGCAGGGGGATCTTGCAGGCGCTGCAGTATTTCAGTCCTTCATGGCGTAGTGTGTTTTTCTGAGTGACAATGGTCCCAGCTGTCTTGAGATCATTAGCAAGATCCAGCAATAAACAAAATAGTCTAGTACCCCCTGAGTGAAGATATCACAACAGGGGTGGCCAGTATGAGTGGCACCCTATCACTCTGGGCATGAACCCTGGAAACATTACTATAAAAAGCAAAGTGAGGAAATCTTTATCAAAGAAATTCATCTAGGGTACTGATGGATGAGAGGCTGAAGTAAATAAGTACTAGTAATAATAGTTAATAATAATAGTACATAATGAGGAAAGTATCTAACATGTATATCGAGGCACAGACTTTCATTAAAGTTGAAAAACTAATAGGCTTTATTATAATTGCCAAACATGTATTAGGCACAAATTATCCCAACTATATAAATAAACATTGCTTATAAGTAATATGCTCAAACATGGTTGGTAGCATTGAACACCTTCTACAAATGAGCCCATAGTCTCTAATAATGTTTAACTCTAGGGTATACTGGATCACTATTATAGTGATATCTAGTATCAGCTAAGAAGGCTAGATATTCCCTAAGACATCTTCATGGATGTCAATTAGGCTAAATTCCCCCTAGCTCTACGTGGTTCCAAGAGTAATATCTAAATACTATTTGCAGCTACCTTGGCTAGAGATTCTCTGAGCTCCTCAACAGTCTCCAGAGAGACTAATTATCCCTATAGCTGTGAATGGAAAAGGCTTCAGGCGCCTGCCACTGTACCCCACACTCCCATATAGCTCTTCCTCATTATGGATTAAATAAAAATCAAAGTGAAACAAAACGTGATCAATCAGTGCATAGTGCTATTTGAAAAAAATTCCAGACGCGCGTTTCGGTGCTATAATGGCACCTTCGTCACTTGAGGAAATTTGAGAATGGCAGTCCCTGGCTTTTAAAAGACTTTAGAGTCCACCTTCATTTTCCTTATTAGCCAATCATACCTTATTGGAGTCTTGAAGCTCAGCTGAGCCACATCCAGCTATCAGGCTTCCCCGATGTCATCATTTTCTAAACATACACCCGGGACCTCGCTCTCAGAGAACAATATTTTATCTTGGACGAAACAAACAGGAACATATTTTACTGATGATTGTATACATTTCATTTCTCAGATGCAACTCTCCTATCTTATAATGTTGAAACACTATCTGAATAAATCCTCTAAGTAAAATCTAAGGTTAAAAAGGTACAATTCCATCAATATAAATTCTCTTGTAAAATAAAGTATCACTGTATGATTGCATGATTTGCATGACTGCTGAATGCATGATTTATTCACATTAGATCATTATTTAGTATAGTTTGATTGCAGTCACAAAAAGTGAAGGTAATATTTTCTAGTCCTTGGATTCATTTTCAATTATGTTTGTGTTAAGTGACCACTTTGTGTTGTTTCAGGGTTTAAAAATGTTAAGTGGAAATATTATAGGAGAGAGTCCAATAGATTGGTAATCTCTATATTGCAACCATCAAAGGTTGAAAGACAGGGGATATGCTTAGTGAGAGTCTTATCTACTAAGTAGTGGATTGTGAAATGCAGAATTGACTTCTGTTTATTATAGACAAGTCAGTTTCTCCATATGCTGTGTTTCAGTCTCACCATATCCTCAGGAGAAAACGCTAGAGCTAAATGTTAAAGGTTTATAGCTAAAGAAATGGTAAGTGGCTAATACAAATATAAGTAGAAATATATATATATATATATATATATGTGAACACATTGATTCTTTGTGGTAATTATAATCAGCCAACATTTTTAAATTAAAGATCATTATTAAATGCAGAGTATGTGAACCCTTTGTTTAGCCCAAGTGGAGAGAGTGTTCCCAGATAATATATCCAGAAGCACTCCCTCCTCAAGAGGCGTTTATTAAAATTGCCCTTTCTTTGGTCGGTGTTACCAGTTAAATGCCTTGGAATTTCAGTCCATTAGGGGTTGCCCTGGTGTGTGCATTTAACATGTCAGGATATTGGAGTTTCAATTTTCCTGATGGTCTTTACTGAATTCACATGCTCTAAAAGGCGTCTTTTAAAGGGATGAAAAGTTTTGCCTACATACATGAAGCCACATTGGCAGGTTAGGAGATATATTAGACCCTTTGTACCGCAGTTGAAAAAGGACTTCACTGTAAACTTTTCATTATGTTTGCTATTTTCAAAGTATTTTGAATCTTTTGAGATTAAGGTGCAAGCTTTACACCGTCCACATTTATATGTCCTTTTCAATTTGTTGGACAGCCATTGTGGTGGTGTACTTGCTCTTTGGAAGTGAATGTGTACTAGGAGATCTTTTAAGTTTTTTCCCCTCCTCGCTGTTATAGCTGCATGGAGGGGGATTACATTCTTAAAATGTTCATCCTGTCTGAGGATGGGCCAGAATCTGTCCATAGTGCTTTTTTCATTTTCCCTGCCCGAATCATAAAACTCCAATTTGTCACAATCAGAGACTAAGACCTTAAAAAGCTTACAACAAAGAAAATAAATAACTATAAAACCATCTGATAAAGGTGGCAATATTGTGATACTAAGCACTGCTCAGTACCTACAAACGACCAATAGGATTCTCTCTGACAATTCCACATATAATGTCCTTGAATCTGACCCAACCATATGTTTCTTGAGTAGGCTGAAATTGATTCTGCAGAAGGGTCCTGACAATAAACTCATCTCCAAAGGAGAGTATGACTTTATTCTTAATCAACACCCACGAAGAGCCACTTTCTATGGCCTGCCCAAGATACATAAAAAACACCCATCCCTATCTGGCAGACCAATAGTGTCAGGTAATGGCAACCTGACACAGGATATAAGTGTCTACATTGACCATATCTTAAGACCTCTGGTAGTTAGGTTGCCATCTTATTTAAGGGACACCAAGCATACCCTGACAGTATTGGCAGATATACAACTACCTCAGGGGTCACTGCTATGTGGTCTCGATGTTGAAGCACTTTACAGCTCTATCCCTCACCATTTAGGTCTGAAACGTGTACAATTTTTCCTTTCCAAAAGAGTTCCACAGCTAAACAATCACAATCTATCTGTGACTGATCTATTATAAGTTTGTACTGATGCATAATTATATTTTGTTTGATGGCAAATACTTCCTCTAGGTGCAAGGGAATGCTATGGGGATGGCTTGAGCCCCCTCGTTTGCCAACTTGCACCTGGGATGGTGGAAAGAGAAAGTTGTTTTCACTGATCAATTAGCCAATTTCGTGCCAAAAACACACACCTGGAAGCGTTATATAGATGACGTACTGGTTGTCTATCTGGGGACAGGTGATGAATTCCTAACCTTTGTGCAATTTACTTTGTCCTAACTGCTTAGTCGATCTCTTCCCATTCCCTATAAAATTAACAAGGTCCATGTCTGTGAAAGAGAAGGCATATTATTTGCAACAATATATCTATTTAGAGATTCATCTCTTTAGACCTTTTCGTATCCACTCTTTTGGAATTGAGAGTTTTTCTATCTTGCTCTGCTATATCAGCTTGCACTTCTTATTTATATAGTTGGGATAATTTGTGACTAATACATTTTTGGCAGTTATAATACAGTCTAGTTTATCCACCTTAATGAAATTCTGTGCCTTGATATACATGATAGATACTTTCCTCGTTATGTTTCAACTTGGTGCAGGAAAGAGGGTTTTGTTTTTTTAGAGCACTGGGCACTTTATTTTTGCACTTGGGTAAACTAGTAGTAGGGGGGGAGGGTCAAAGCAATCTAGAAAATGGAGATAGGATAAAAAAAGGAGATAAGCTTTAGCTCAGTATAAGGGTGGAGATGGGGGAGGTGAAAGCTCAGAACAGAGGAGGTATGTAATATTCATGGAAATTCGCAAAAAAGTACAAATGACTCATGATAATATTAAATGTATACTTACTAATGCAAGGAGCCTATATAACAAAATGGGGGAACTAGAGACAATAGCATACGCTAAACAATATGATATAATAGGCATAACAGAAACATGGTGGGATTAGACACATAACTGGGCAGTTAACTTAGTTACATAGTTAGTTACATAGTTACATAGTTGAAAAGAGACTTGCGTCCATCAAGTTCAGCCTTCATCACATGTTTTTGCTGTTGATCCAAAAGAAGGCAAAAAACCTAGTCTGAAGCGCTTCCAATTTTGCCACAAACTAGGAAAAAATTCCTTCTTGACCCCAAAATAGCAGTCAGATTTTTCCTTGGATCAAGCAGCTATTACCCCACTAATCAGAAATTATATCCCTGTATGTTATGTTTTTGCAAGTATTTATCCAATTGCAGTTTAAACATCTGTAATAACTCTAACAAAACCACCTCTTTAGGCAGAGAATTCCATATCCTTGAAAGAAGAAAATGTAAACCGCGCTTTTAAAAATGTGAATAATACATACATATACTTGTAGGTAATTCCAATGAGTTTGAAATCTCGGAATAAATAAAAATAAAAGAAATAATAGTGCAGTACAGTAACAATAAATATTATGAGATGGTGATTGTAGCTTGTAATTCAGTCCACTCACATTTGTATGAGCTATAACAGAGCTCAGCTGTAGTGCGCTTGGACGGTATAATCCCCGTCTTAGGATATGATGTTCCAATTGGTCCAGATATTTCGAAGTGCAGCATGTGTAATAAAAACAAAAATAGCATCCAATAGTGAAGTAAGTACTATTAATAAAATTAATAAAAATTTGGTAACGTACTTACAATTTTCTGAGCATGTAACTTGCTCTAGTATGAACAGCTTAGGTGGTATAATCCCCACCAATGATATGCAGAATCCAGGAAGTAAAAAATGGATATAAAAGTAACTAATTAACAGTATACTTTAATATAAAACAAAACATAATATCAACATAAAATATATAAAAGAAAGTCCACTTGACGCGTTTCGCCCGGTAGGCTTCTTCAGAAGTGTGATAGGAGCTTCCTCTGGGTTCCGTTTTTATGTGGTCATAAATTTTTGAAAATACTTCCTGGTGTGCTTCTTCCGGTTTCCTGGTTCCCTGTGGAACGCACGCATCATACCGGAAGTGACGCGGTATACGCATCATACCGGAAATGACGCGGCGTCATATATTCGATGCTGTATTAATCTTGCGCAGCTCGTGGAGCGCACGTGCCGCTCAGAAAAGCGTGCGTTGCGTTCCAGGCGCTTACACAGGCCCCTAAATGATGGGCATGCCTAAAAACTAACATGACGGCCATGTTAGGTGTGGGCATAAGAGGAAAAGAATAAGTAAAGGACATATGTCATTTGATTACCGAGTTATTTAAACAGATATTTTAGAAACAATATTAATAAATATAAAAGAACATTATGTACAAAAAAGAGCAAGTATATAAAAAAAAAATATTAATAGAAGGGTAAAAAGATAATGCTAACATAATGGTGGGTTTTTTAAACATAAAAAATTTTAAGATTTCTAATATATAGTAATACCACATAATAGAACAAAAGGCATAATACAATTATGAACACAAATACACTCTTATTGTGTTCAAAGATAATATAAACCAGTGAATGTTGACATGATTATTAACTTTAAATATAATATTGATATAGTTGTATGAAGAGGAGTAGTTGTAAAAAAAATGTATAAAAAATAATACATAACACTGTGTAAAAAGAAAAGGACAAATATGGATAAAATGACTTATGGATTGTAATATATATATATATATATAAATATATATATATATATATAAAATATAAAATATATATAAAAAGTATATAAAAGGAAAACAATTTTAAAATTTTATAAAAAATTGTATAAATCAAAATCCACATTGAGTCCATTTGGGTGTAAAGTGTCTAACTGATATACCCACTGCATTTCTGTTCTTCCAATCTTTTTTACAACGTCTCCTCCTCTCCAGTGGTTTCTTACAATGGCAATCCCAGTGAATGGAAGGTGCTTAGGATCATTATTATGCATGCAGAAGTGAGCCGGTACAGAGTGGTTATTTAAACCTTTCTCTATATTTCTGCAGTGTTCTGCTATTCTTGTTTGTAATGGTCTAATGGTCCTACCTACATATTGTAGGCCGCACGGGCATTCCAGTAGGTATATTACATTTTTACTGTTACATGTAATAACATCCTTAATATTGTATACTTTACCAGTAATATTATTTTTAAAATCTGTAATATCTCTTCTAGTTGTTTTTGTTTTTTTACACACCATACAACAATTGCATTTGTAGAAACCTTTTTTATCCATAAAATTATTAATTCTTTTGGGGCTCGTCTTCATATAATTTTTAGTTAGGTGCATCTTAAGATTTGGTGCACCTCTAAATATTATCTTAGGTTTATCAGGAATTATTGTTTTTAAAATATCGTCTTCTTTTAATAGGTGCCAGTGTTTCTTTATAATATTCTTTAATTGTTTATTTCTATTATTATAATCTAGCACAATTGGCAGAGTGAAATCTGAGTGTTTTGATTTTGATTGGATTGTATCTTTATGTATAAGTTGATTCCTGTTTAATCTAGCTGTTTCATTAATTGTAATTTCAATATTCTTTCTATTATACCCTTTTTGTATAAAACTTTCCTTTAACACGTTAGCTTGTTTCGTAAACATGGATTCGTCTGAGCAATTTCTTTTAAGGGGCATTATTTGACTTTTTGGTATGCTGTCTAACCAAGTTTTGTTATGACAGCTATCCATACTTATATAGTTATTTACATTAACATCTTTAAAATGTGTTTTCGTTTGTATTTTATTGTCTTTAATGTAAATATTCAGGTCGAGATAAGTAACCATGGTATTACTAAAATCTGCTGTTAGAAATATGCCTTCTTCATTACTATTTAAAAAAAGAGATAAAATCTTTGGCTGAGCTAATAGACCCTTTCCAAATAAAAAGAAGGTCATCTATATAACGAGAATAAGACACCAGGCTATCCACCCAGCCATGCCCCCTCCAGACAAAACGGTCCTCCCACTCTGCCATATAAAGATTGGCATAGCTGGGTGCAAACCTGGTGCCCATAGCTGTGACAGTTTTCTGTAAATAAAAGTCATCTTTAAACCAAAAATAATTATGTCTTAAAATTAAATCTATACCCTCAATAATAAAATCTGCTTGTTCTTGAAATATAGATTTATCCCGTTCAAGGATAGATCTTATTGCACGACACCCTTTTTCATGCTGTATAATCGTGTACAGGGACTGCACATCACAAGTAATAAGTATATAATCTTCTCTCCAGATTATATTTTCCAATTTTTTGAGAAAGTCTATCATATCTTTTAGATATGATTTTGTTTGTCTGACATATGGTTGCAACATTATGTCTATATATTCAGATAAGTTGGAAAGAAGTGATCCTATACCCGACACTATGGGTCGCCCTGGAGGATCATACAAGTTTTTATGTATTTTTGGGAGAAAATATATAACTGGGATTTTGGGAAATTAAATGTTAATATAATCATATTCTTTTGTGTTAAGAATCCCCATATCTCTTCCTTTATTTAGAAATATACTGAATTTAAGTTTTATATCAGCTGTTGGATCTTTATTCAATTTGATGTATGTCTTACTGTCATTTAATTGTCTGAGGGCTTCTGTTTCATATTTATCTTTAGATTGGATGACAAGACCCCCGCCTTTATCGGTGGGTTTGATTACTATTGAAGTATCATTATATAGGTCTTTGAGTATTTTCATTTCCTTCTTATTCATATTTGGCCTATCTCTCATTTGTTTAGTATCTAAAACTTTTAAATCATTACATACTTTTCTTTCGAAAATATTTAGAGCACTGGATTTAAAATAAGCAGGGTAAAACGTGGATTTACTTTTTAAATCACTACTCCTATATTCTTTTGGTTTGTCATTATCTGTATTAGCACATATATTCGTATTGATAGTAGGTTTATTTAAATAAAAACGTTTTAAGGTGGCATTTCTTACAAATTTATTCACATCTATATATGCTAAGAACGAATTGTAAGATTTAGTGGGAGCAAATTTCAGACCTCTTTTTAAAACATTCTTTTCAGTTGAATTCCATATACTTATTGCTCTTACTGTAAAAAAAAAAACTTTTCTTTGCCTTAGATGAAATTTTCTTTCTTCTAGCCTAAACGTGTGACCTTGTGTCCTATGTATAGCCCTGATTATGAATAGATTTCCAGATAAAGGTTTGTACTGGCCCCGAATATATTTGTATAATGTTATCATATCCCCTCTCAGGCGTCGTTTTTCCAAACTAAACAGATTAAATTTGTTTTAACCTTTCTTCATACCTAGAATGCTCCATTCCTTTTATTAATTGTGTAACTTGTCTCTGGACGTTTTCTAGTACCATGATATCTTTCTTTCGAACAGGCGCCCAAAATTGCACAGCAAACCAGATGGGTCGGTTAGCTAATGAAGACCAGGAAAAAGCAGAAATTTTAAATAACTATTTTTCTTCAGTATATATTAATGAGGATCCTATGGCAAGAGATATGCAAATGATTGCTTCAAAAAACTTTTAGATAACTTGGGATTGGATAACTTGAGACACGGTGCATCAGCTGTTAAAGAAAATGAATGTAAATAAAGCTCCGGGTCCTGGTGGTATTCACCCACGAGTACTTAAGGAGCTAAGTGGGGAAATAAGTGAACCTCTGTTTTTAATTTTTCAAGATTCTTTTGTCTCAGGTATTGTACCGGAGGATTGGAGGTGGCAGATGTTGTTCCTTTATTTAAAAAGGGTTCAAAATCCTTGCCTGGAAATTATAGACCTGTGAGCTTAATTTCTGTGACTGGGAAAATATGTGAAGGGCTATTAAGGGATAATGTTCAGGAATTCATTGGGAATAACTTTGTTATTAGCAATAATCAGCATGGTTTTATGAAACACAGGTAATGTCAAACTAACCTAATTGCATTCTACGAAGAAGTAAGTACAAGTATAGATCAGGGTGTTGCAGTGGATGTGATCTACTTGGATTTTGCCAGGGCATTTGAGCAGGCTATTGCTTTGCTGCAGAGGGATTTGGATAGATTGGGAGACTGGGCACTAAAATGACAGATTAAATTTAACATAGAGAAATGCAAAGTTATGCACTTAGGGGTCAAGAATGCACAAGCAACTTACACCCTAAATGGTAGTGAACTAGGGATAACCACACACGAGAAGGATTTGGGAATTGTTATAGACAACAAATTAGGCAGCAATATACAATGTAAATCTGCAGTTTCTAAGGCCAGTAAGGTTTTGTCATGTATAAGTAGGGGTATAAATTCTCAGGATGAAAATATAATTTTGCCTCTTTATAAATCACTGGTAAGACCACACCTTGAATATGCTGTGCAATCTTGGGCACTTGTTCTAAATAAGGATATCATGGTATTATAAAAAGTGCAGAGTCGAGCTACAAAATTGATAAAAGGAATAGAGCATTTTAGTTACAAAGAAAGGTAAAAAAATTGAAATCTCTTTAGTTTGGAAAAACTGCGCCTCTGAGGGGATATGATAACATTATACAAATATATTCGGGGCCAGTACAAACCATTATCTGGAAATCTATTCATAAACAGGGCTATACATAGGAGACGAGGTCACACATTTAGGCTGGAAGAAAGGAGATTTCATCTAAGGCAGAGAAAAGGTTTTTTTACTGTAAGAGCAATAAACATATGGAATTCTCTGCCTGAAGAGGTGGTTTTATCAAAGACAATACAGATGTTTAACCCCTTAAGGACCAAACTTCTGGAATAAAAGGGAATCATGACAATTGGATCAATTGGATCAAAACTTGAAAAAAACACAGCATACAGGGAAATAATTTCTAATTAGTGGGGTAATAGCTGCTTGAACCAAGGAGAAGTCTGACTGCTATTTTGGAGTCAAGAAGGAATTTTTTCCTAGTTTGTTGCAAAATTGGAAGCGCTTCAGACTAGGTTTTTTTTGCCTTCTTTTGGATCAATAGCAAAAACATGTGAGGAAGGCTGAACTTGATGGATGCAAGTCTCTTTTCAGCAATGTAACTATATAACTATGTAACTATTGCACTTATTTACTTCAGCCCAGGGCCGGACTGGGAAAAAAATTCGGCCCAGGCATTTTTCAATCACAGCGGCCCCGTGAGAAGGGGGCAGGGCAAGAGAGGGTGTGTTTTGTCATCACTAATGACAAGCACGTCCCCTCTCAAAGTCTGCATGTTAGTTCAAAGCACAGAGCCCTGCTGAAGAGCTCTAGCATGAGAAAAAGGCCCTGTATTTGTTCTGTGCCTCACAAGCAAATTTAACAACATGCTTGTGCTGTGTTTGCTTTTAACTTGTCTATGGTGTCAACATAAGTGGGATACTAGAGGACAAAAGGGCCAGGAAAGCGTATCGTGCTAGGGGCTGTAGAGAGTGTGTGTGTATAGGGGGCATAGTGTATATTGGGGATGTTGCGAGTGTCTGCATACGGGCTGTAGTGTGTTTAGGGGTTGTAGAGACTGTGTGTTTAGAGAATGTAGCACAAGTTTGCTAACAGGGAATGTAGTGTGTGCATAGGGGATCCATAGTTTGTATGTCAGGAATGTAGTGTGTGTAGGTGGTGCAGTGTGTGTGTGTGTGTGTGTAGGGGATCTAGTGTGTAAAGGACCCAGAGTGTGTATAGGAGATAGTGTGTGTGTAGAGGATTTAGAGTGTATATAGGGATCTACTGTGTGTATGTTTGTGTAGATTAGATGATCCAGAGTTGGGTAAGGGATCTAGCGTGTATCTGGAGAGTAATGTGTGTAGTGGTGCAGTGTGAGGGGTGCTGTAGTATATATATACTACAGCTCCACCGGGTCCTCCTCTCCCTCCCCAGCCAGTGGCAGCATTACAGTGCCTGTGGGCCACTGAGGGAGGTCTTTGATCTCCCCACTAGGCAATGAAGGCACGCAGCAGTGCCGGCACACTGATAGTGTTGGCCCTGCGTGGGCCGGCCGGAGAGATCCTGTGATCTCCCCTGCCAGCCTCAGCCCCTGTTCATTGCGGCCCACTGGGTATTTGCCTGCTTCAGCCTCTCATACATCAATACTCTAGAGGAATTTCCTTGATAAGAATTTCCTCACTTTGCTTTTTACATTAGCAAGATCCTTCCATGTAGGTTTGGGCTGATTTCTCACCATTCTCATGATGATTGAAACTCTACGAGGTGAGATCTTGCATGGAGCAACGAGGGAGACTGACAGTTATTTTGTGTTTCTTCCATTTGCGAATAATCACAACAACTGTTGTCACCTTCTCACCAAGCTGCTTGATGATGGTCTTGTAGCCCATTCCAGCCTTATGTAGGTCTACAATCCTTGACATCCTCGGACAGCTCTTTCGTTTTGGCCATGGTGGAGAGTTTGGAATCTGACTAATTGCTTCTGTTAACAGGTGTCCTTTATACAGGTAACAAGCTTTGATTAGGAGCACTCCCTTTAAGAAAGTGCTCATAACCTCAGCTAGTTACCTGTATAAAAGACACCTGGGAGCCAGAAATCTTGTTGATTGGATAGGAGATCAAATACTTATTTCACTCATTAACATGCAAATCAATTTATAACTTTTTTGACATGCCTTTTTCTGGATTTTATTTTGTTATCCTGTCTCTCACTGTTAAAATACATCTACCATTAAAATTACAGACTGATCAATTGTTTGTTCAAAATGTTCAAAATCAGCAGCGGATCAAATACTTTTTTTCCCTCACTGTGTGTGGGATATATATATATATATACATTATTTGTATTCTACAGTATAAAAAAATACATGGCAGTCTTAGAAATCAAACAATGTTTATTTTCCAGAACTGAAACAGAAGATAACGTTCCCGTGGCAGCATATTACACACTTCACTATGATGGAAACATCACTCATGAAAAGCCATTACGAGTTGTTAGCACGTGTAATTTAGACATGTTCAAATTCCCCTTTGACAAACAGCTTTGTAACCTGACCTTCGTTTCTTTCCTGTACCCAGGTATGTTCATTACAAATAAATAAAATAAACCTATAATAAAATATCAACATTACTATATATTATTTCTATTCATGTATTACTTTAAGGAACACTCCAAGCACCATAACCACTACAGATCACTGTAATGATTGCGGTGCCAGGAGTGCCCTGGTACCTCCTTATTGTAATGAGTCAAACCTTTTTCAATTAGTTTCTTTTCATTGGGGTCTGTCGGGCACCCCCCCACCTCCACTACCCTCATCAGATATCCGGGCGCTGCTAAGCAGGAACTTCCATTAGCTCTCCTGAGCTCAGCTCTACATTGAAAAGGTTTGATTCCATACAATGTGATGGGATGTCAGGGCGCTGCAAGCACCGTAATCACTACAGTGAACTATAGTCGACATGGTGCTTGAAGTGTTAATTTAATTAGACAAATTGTCATATATAATAGAACACTGACCATCAGTTATGTTATTATCCTTTGGTTTAAGCAGTTTCCCAGTTTCATTTGTTCTATATAGTGAATAAATATAATACTTTATACTTCTCCAAATACAAAATGGTTATTCACTAAATACAAATTACAGAGTAAAGTGGCATTTTACAGACAATTCCCAACGGACTCACTTGCTGAGGTCCTGACTGTTATACCCAAAGAAGGCAAGGACCCATCCTGTTGCGCCAGTTACTGACCTATGTCACTCCTGAATGCGGACTTAAAACTGTTCGCAAAAGCCATGGCCTTGCGACTTTCGATTTTTACCTCGGGTAACCCGACCGGTTACCCCTGCTACTCCACTTCAGCCAGTCAGGAACCATTTAAAGCACAAAGAGACCCATCCCCCCCCCCAGTAACTGGACGACACACAGTCCTGGAGGCAGTGGTGTATTTTGGAGTGGTGCTGCCCTAGGCTGGACGGAGCTCGGGTACCATCCCATATTTAAATTTTCCCCACCCTTTCCTGTCAAGGCCGCACTTTGACTGACAGAAACTTTCTCACTGATGCATTCAATGACATACAATCACTAAAAGATACAGTCATTAGCACACATACTGTTTAACCAACACACACTTTCACTGACAGAACGACACACACGCACTCTCATATACTCTGACAAACAATGACATACACACACACTCACTGATTTGACACACACTGACAGACTTACACTCACTGACAGACACAGACACACTCATTGACTGAAACATACAGACTCACTGACAGGCACTCACTCACAGACACACAGACACTTACAGACACACACACTTACAGACACACACATTCATTCACAGGCACACACACATTCACTCACAGGCACACACACATTTCCCCCAACACTCACAAATTATTATTATTTTTTTAATCTAAATCCACCCTGGGAGAGCTGGAGTGGATTACTTACATGCGATCCAGTGGGGCTGCTGCGCGGTCTGGTGGGGGGCGGAAAGGCTGAGTAGGCAGCGAGGGAGCTCTAATCTTCTTGCTCATCTCCCACGCGCACCGCTTAGTGATGACGGGAACCTGAGTGACTTCATATTCTGGCTTCATTAAATGGCACGTGAGGGAGCTGAGCAGGAAGAGCTCAGGTGAGCATGCTTCCTCGCCGCCCGCCGCGATAGAAGCTGCCGCCTGCCTCGTGGTGGCTCAAAAGTGGCCAGCTATTGGGCCCCCAGGACACGAGGCAAACAAGGCATCATACTGGGCGTTTGGTGGTGGCTAAATCCACAGGGTCCCCCACACCAACCGCCAGGGATCTTCTTCCCAAGAGCCTCTGTGCCTGGGAGTGTAGGTGTGGTCTCAAACCTTTCCAAGGTTTCTCCACTACAAGAAATAATCCCTAGATCCACCATATTTGACTGACTATCAATAAAGGTTTATATTATACTGATTGTTAAATATACTGAAGAGTGGGAGTCATTTTCACAAACGTTGTATGCTTTCTTCATATTCTATGTATACTTTGCAACCTTAAACTCTGCACCGATTATTCAATATCTGTACAATTGCAAAAAAAATAAAAAAAATAAAACAAATAAAGATTGTCAAAAAATTTGGGGTAGGATGGCGTAGCATTAGAGATCTGTAGGTCAAGATTAATTGTTAGATACAACTCTTATAACTTATAGTGTGCCCTCATACCCTCAGTATGCCCTCTAATACCATTGAGTGTTTCCTCTTAAACCCCTCAGTGAGCCCTCTTTTTCTACTTATTGCCCCTTTTACACCTTCCCCAATGCACCTTCATTTGCTACTTTGGAGTATTGTACGCAGTACTGGAGACCGTATCTCCAGAAGGATATTGATACTTTAGAGAGAGTTCAGAGAAGGGCTACTAAACTGGTTCATGGATTGCAGGGTAAAACTTACCAGGAAAGGTTAAAGAATCTTAACATGACAATAGCCCTGACGTTGCAGCACCCGGCACCACAACGGATAAAGTCTGAGTGCAGGGACCATCTGGAATTTGCTATATATATATTATATATATATATATATATATATATATTAATATATTATACTGTATTTATATAATAACAATTATTAATAAATAAAAATATATATATCATTCTAATTGTATTTATTATTGTATATATTTAAATTCTACGTGCATATTTATGTAATCTTTTTACATAATTATGTGACTTTATTAATTACAATTTGAGAGACCTGCCTGACAACCAAGGCAGAAAGTCTAAAGGATTTGCAAACCCTATGTTTAACCCTCTAACTCTTCAAAACCCGATAAAACCTGTACATGGGGGGTACTTTTGTACTTGTGAGACATCATTAAACACAAATATGTATTATATTGCAGTAAAAGCTAACAGTATTATGACATTCACAGTTAAAATGTCATGCAGAACTTGAAAAATAACATTTCTTAATTTCTCAAAATTCGATTTTATTCATATTAAATTATGTTTCATATATAACTATTTGATGTGAAATGAAAGCTCTGTTTGTCCTGATTAAAATTATATATAAGTGTGGGTGTACACAATATGAAAGAGGTAAACTATGGTTTGAAAGACTCATAGTGCAGGTTTGGTTTTGATTAGAACTTGTAAAATTGCCTACGTCCTTAAAGGACCACTATAGGCACCCAGACCACTTCAGCTCAATGAAGTGGTCTGGGTGCCAGGTCCATCTAGGGTTAACCCTGCTGCTGTAAACATAGCAGTTTCAAAGAAACTGCTATGTTTACACTAGGGTTAATCCAGCCTCTAGTGGTTGTCTCACTGACAGCCACTAGAGGCCGCTTCCACGATTCTCACTGTGAAAATCACAGTGAGAAGACACTGGACGTCCATAGGAAAGCATTGAGAAATGCTTTCCTATGGACTGATTGAATGCGCGTGCGGCTCTTGCCACGCATGTGCATTCAGAGCTGACGTCGGAAGAGGGAGGAGAGTTCCCCAGCGCCGAGGGATCCCAGCGCTGGAGAAAGCTAAGAGTATAACCTCCTCAGTCCCTTGAGCCCAGCGGAAGGACCCTGAGGGTGGGGGGGACCTAAAGACCCTATAGTGCCAGGAAAACAAGTTTGTTTTCCTGGCACTATAGTGATCCTTTAAAGGGGCTAACCTATAGTTTGCTATGAGGATTTAATTTGCTAAAATTTGGTGTTTAATGAATAATCCTGATGTTATGTTTAACTATCTTACTAGAACTTCCTAATGCTCACTTTTACACACCATGTTTCTTTACATTTTATCATTCTACAGAGGCAGAAATGGTAATTTTACCAAAATCCAATGCCTCAACTGTGAATAAAAACTCAAAGAGTTCGTTTACAAATAAAGGTGACTGGATCCTTCAAGAAATCTCGGTTAATTACAGCGAAATGGAATATGGGAGCATTTCATATAGTTTTGTTGTCTATGGGGTAAGAGTCACACATTATCACCATATTGCATATTGACACATATATTACCACAGATATCGCTGTGTTTCCTCATATATTTTGCTTGATATATTGTCATATTATTGTCTGACTGCTTCACACAATGATCTTTACATTGTCATGTTGTCCCAATGGTGTCCAGATGTGTTGTTATATTACCCCCTGATGTAATACAAACAACCACTAGAGGCAAGGCCGATCCTAGGGTCACAGGCGCCTGGATGCAGACATTTTTGGTGCCCTCAGGTGGGCGTGGTCATCTTTCTAACCCCTGCCCTTTGCAACGACTCCACCTCTCCATCTAGATACACACTCACTGGCAGTCACACACTCTTACTGAGACACACACACACTTACTGTTTTGTCACACACTGACAGAAACATACTCAGACAGAAACATTGACACACACTCTCAATGACAGATACACATTCTCACTGATTTGAAACACTCACTGACAGACACATAGTGGAACACAAAATAAGGAAGTCCAGCATAATCACTCAATTAAACACACACTGCCCCATGCATACCTAGACCGTCACACACAATACAATACACATACATTCACACTGTCATATGGACACTGTATCACACACACACACTCTCAGTGTCACATACACACAGTCCTGGCTGTGATGAGCACCGGGAGGAGGAAAGGAGGCCGGGGTCCCTAGTGTCTAGTGGGAGGCAGGTATTCCTTTCTGCTTTGCCTCTGTGCAGCAGCGGCTCAAGACTTGGTGACGTCCTCTTAAACAATTATCTCTATAAACTCATTTGTATAAATTATTTTTTAATGCAAAGCTTCTATGTAAAATAGTTTTCCTTCTTTCAGTTTGCTGTATATGTACAGTGATGTATTCACCCCATACACTAATTAATACACATACATATAAATCCACAGATCATATCTCATATATACATAGACATGTGGCTTAACTTCTCTGGCTGGTAAAATATTTGAAAGGTTATTAGGGGATAATATTCAAGAATTCCTTGAGAAGAACATGGTTATCAGCAAAAATCAGCACGGTTTTATGAAGCACAGGTCATGTCAAACTAACTTGATTGCGTTCTACGAAGAAGTAAGTAGAAGTATAGATCAGGGTGTTGCAGTGGATGTGATCTATTTGGATTTTGCCAAGGCATTTGATACAGTTCCACACAATAGATTAGTGTTCAAACTCAAGGAAATCGGTCTAGATGAAAATGCTTGTTCTTGGGTAGAACATTAGCTTAAAAACAGAGTACAAAGAGTTGTCATTAATGGTAAATTTTCAAACTGGACAGAGGTGGCAAGTGGTGTCCCTCAGGGGTCTGTTCTGAGACCCCTTCTATTTAACATGTTTATAAATGATCTTGAAGACAGCATTGAAAGTCATGTTTCAGTGTTTGCAGATGACACAAAACTTTGTAAAATAATACAATGTGAGCAAGATATTACTTTGCTGCTGAGGGATTTAGATAGACTGGGGAACTGGGCACTCAAATGGCAGATGAAACTGAATGTTGAAAAATGCAAAGTTATGCACTTTGGCGTAAAGAATACACAAGCAACGTATACCCTTATTGGAAGCGAATTAGGGATAGCAACACACGAAAAGGACTTGGAAATTGTTATAGACAACAAACTATGCAACAATGTGCAATGTCAGTCAGCAGTGGCCAAGTCATGCATGAAAAAGGGCATTCATTCTCGGGACGAGAATATAATTTTGCCTCTTTATAAATAACTGGTAAGACCACATATTGAATATGCTGTGCAATTTTGGGCACCTGTTCTAAAGAAGGATATTATGGCACTAGAAAAAGTGCAGAGGCGGGCTACAAAATTAATAACAGGAATGGAACATATCAGCTATGAAGAAAGTTTAACAAATTTAAACCTATTTAGTTTAGAAAAACGTCGCCTGAGAGGGGATATGATAACATTATACAAATATATTCGGGGCCAATACAAACCATTGTGTGGAAATCTATTCACAAACCGGACTTTACATAGGACACGAGGCCATGCGTTTAGACTGTAAGAAAGAAGATTTTGTCTTTTTACTGTAAGAACAATCAGGATGTGGAATTCTCAGCCTGAAGAAGTGGTTTTATCAGAGTCCATACAGATGTTCAAACAGCTACTAGATGCATACTTGCAAAAACAGAATATTCAAGGATATAATATTTCAATGTAGGGTAATAACTGCTTGATCCAAGTATAAATCTGACTGCCATTCTGGGGTCAAGAAGGAATTTTTTTCCTAGCTTGTTGCAAAATTGTGCTTCAAACTGTGTTTTTTTGCCTTCTTTTGGATCAACAGCAAAAAACAAATGTGAGGAAGGCTGAACATGATGGACGCAAGTCTCTTTTCAGCTATGTAACTATGTAACTATGTGCACACTCACATACATACACAGACACACACTGTCACATACAGAGGCACATAACATACACATTCACATACATACACAGACACACACTGTCACATACAGAGGCACATACCAATATACACAGTGACATACATAGGCACATACCAATATACACACCCACATATATACACAGACACACACTGTCACATACAGAGACACATACCAATGTACACACTCACATACATACATACTGTGTTATTTACAAAAATAAGAATTGTCAGGAATTTATAGTGGATTTCAAAGTGGATGAAAGAATAGTCAAACTGGAAGCATCATATTCATGACAGTTGTTTTAGTGACTATCCTTGTCAGACATGAATTAACACACACCATCACAATCATCAAAGACACACATCATCATGGACACAGACACACCAAAACACAGTGCGAGACATACACGCATTAACTCAATTACAAACATTTATAAAAGAACACAAAGGCACATACATTAAAAGACAAACAAAGTTCGATACATAGACACACAACACACTCAGTCACATGTCACTCATGTGACAGGGTACGTGGGTAGTTACACTCAGCAAAGTACCGCTGCTGTAACACCACCTACACTCAGCAGCTCCGTTGCCAGCTACCTACTGGGGGAGTTTCTACGGTTGGGAGGTTTTCAAGGCTGCATTCTAAAGCAGCCACTCACTCTCCTGAGTACTACGTGTTCCAAGCTGTGACACTCTTCCCTGCAGTGCCCCCATTATTCTAGTGCTTGGTCACAAATGCCCTCTCAAATGACCCTGGTGGTTGAGTGGTATCTTATATATGTTCCCTGGAAGTCCGGTGGTGAATAGCAGGAAGCGCAAGTCCTGTTGTTTCAGATCATTATACCCACTCCTTCACGGCTCCGGCTTTCAATGTTGTCAGAGTGCAGGCTGAGAATCTCTGAGCCTGTTCTCTGACTAATTAACTGAGTGCCAGAACCACGAGGGAGAGGGTATGATCTGACCGCACATACTATTTGTGCGCACCAGTGGATCACCAGGGAATTATTTACATTTCATATGCTGGTGTTCCCAACTTGCGAGCTGTGTTGGTCACCATGTGCCTCTGTTGTCATGGCGCCCTGCATAACCACACAGCTTGCATACCCCAAAGGCACTCACTCAATGACACACAAACATAAACCGTGACACACAAAAACTCTGACAGACACATACACACACTCACTGACAGACACACACTCACTGATACACACACACTTTCTGACAGACATACACACACACACACACTCACTGACAGACACACACTTACTAACAGACATATACACACACACACTGACAGACATACACACACACACACACTCACAGACACACACACACTTACCGATAGACACATACACACTTACACAGTCTTGCACACACACTCACAAATTAATTATACATTACTTCATATTCGGGCTCCTGGCATCACCACAGAGGGAGCACAAGGGAGCAGCACAGGCAGTGATCCCTTGCCGCCTCCTTCCTCAGCCGGCCGGTATATTGCTGCAAAGTAGGCACCTGCCGTCTGGGATAAGCAGGTGACTACCCTGCCTTGCTACATAACTGCCATTCCGGGGGCGCCCTTAGGTGGTCTGGCCATCTGCTGGGCTCCCTGTGACAGGCCATCAACCGCTCTGTGCGGCACCCCCCACCTCCTGGCGCCTGGGTGCAGTGCACCCCGTGCACCCGCCCAGGATTGGCCCTGACTAGAAGCACTTCCGCTGCACTGACCAAGTAATACTTAGACCCCATAGAAAGTATTGATTTGATGCTGGAATGCGTGCGTGGCGCTTGCCGCACATACGTATTTTGTCCCCAATGCTCCTCCGAGATGTTGCAGAGGTGAAGACGTCAGTAAAACTTTATTTTTTAAAGTTTAATTGCAAATGCATGTTTGAGGACACGCCTATATTAATTTGGCCCTGGTTTGTATTCCTAGCACAATAATGTTTCTTTACTTCTCTCTGTCTCATGAAATGTTAACTCTTTTGGGGTCTTTTTTTTGCATTCTGATTGAGATTAAGTAGTCTGGGTGACTGAAGGGTCCCTTTTAGAGTTGAGCGAACCCAAACTGTAAAGTTCGGGATCGTACCAAACATTTTTTTTTTTTGGACCCCGGACCTGAACACAGACATTTCACTGTATGTTCGGGTTGGAGTTCAGTGTTTGGCAATTTAATGGCGCGTTTTGAAAGGCTGCAGGGCAGCCAATCAACAAGCGTTTGACTCGTGTGCCCTTAGAAGCCATCAGAGCCATGCCTACTGTGGCGGAACCAACCTCGCCATCATGCACTGGAGAAGCCTGGTTGCCCGCCTGCTGCCTTTAGACTATGGCCCCATGTTGAAACGCTTGATTTTCCCCTGCGAAGACACGAAAGCCGGGTCATTCGGTGCTGGCCCTGTTTGAGCGGTGATACCCCAGATAGCAATGCCATGGAGCCCATTCGTATAATGAAAGACTATGGGAAAGACTTTGGCTCCATGGCAATTGAACTGTATGTGTGTGCTCTGAGCGCCATTCAGTAATAATGTGCGCTCAGATCTGAGCTATCTGGGGATATGTTGAATGTACCTGTTTTGTGCAATGGCTACACAGTTATATATTTTTATGTGTTTTATTGTCTTTTGCTGCCATGTGTTCAATGGAGTTTTGCCTCTGTCCTTGGAGATAATTGGATTACTTCCCAATTATCTCCAGGATAGAAGACTTTGTGGAACTGGTTTTGGGCAGAAAAGCCATGCTTCATTTGGTCACAAAGGACTACGATCTATCTTTTGAACCAATGGACCAATTTGGCTGATTTTTGTTTTTTAAAGAGATTGGATGTGTGGTTTTAAAGTTACAGGATTTGTGTAAAAACTAAAAAAAAGGGGAGGATTTTTGTATGTAATTGCTGGGAGTGTTTCTGTAATATACGTGTATGATTGGTTGTTTTGTAAAACCCTGTGGGTGGTCCTATCTAAGGGAAACCTGCATAAAAGAAGGTTCACTTGGTGCCAGTAAGGAGATTCTGCTTAATCCTCAAACGAAGTGTCGTCTCGTTGTTGGGGGAATTGGATTGTATGCTGACTGCCAGGAGTGTAAACCTTTCGTATGGTTTTTTCTGTTCAGCTGTTTCCAGTATTCGTGAGTTTCCTGTTCGGGAGTTGGAGAATTCGTGTAGTTTGCAGTTCAGGAGATTGGTGATTGCAGTAGCTGTCTGTGCATCTGAAAGGGGAATATCGCCTAAACGGCTTTTAACCCCTTGTGGGCAAAACGGTCCGTTACACCTACTAATGGCATGGCTGTGATCAGGGCCGCCATCAGGGGGTGACAACCATAATGGCCACCCGGGCCCCACGAGTAGCGGCGGAACTGCCGCCGGACGGCGCAGTTGCACCGGGGTCTGCACGCTGATGGGGCCCATCGGGTGGCCCACATACTTAGGGCCACCCGATGGGCCCCATATCTTCAGGGGCCCGGTCAGCGCTGTGGCCCCCTTAAAAAAAAAAATGCCGCCGCAGCTCAAATGCTGCTGGGAGGAAGTGGTCACTTCCTCCCAGCTCACTCCTCGCGGGAGGAGCGCGCACCCGGCAATGAAGAGGGAGAGCCAGCTGACTCCAAGTCCCATCAGCCCCAGCCAGCCACCCTCCTGAAAAGACAAGGTAAGAAACAGGAGGGTGGCTGGAAAATGAGCTGTGTGTGTGTCATTATGAATGTGTGTATCTATGGATGTCAGTGTATGTCTGTAGGTATGTCTGTATGTATGTCTCTATGTCTGTATGCATGTCTGTATGCATGTATGCATGTATGTCTATCTGTATGCATGTCATTATGTGTGTATGGATGTCAGTGTATGTATGTCTGCATGTCATTATGAATGTGTGTATATCTGTCTGTCTGTATGAATGTATGTGTGCCAGTATGAATGTCTGTCTGTATGTCATTATGAATGTGTCTGTGTCTGTATGTCTTTATGCATGTGTGTCTGTATGTATGTTAGTATGTGTCTGTCACTATGTATGCCTGTGTGTCTGTATATGTGTGTGTGTGTGTCAGTATGTATTCCTATATGCGTATCAGTATGTGTGTCTGTTAGCATGTATCAGTGTGTGTGTGTGTATCTGTGTTCTTTTGTATCAGTGAATGTGTTTGTGTCTGTGTGTGTATTCCTGTGGGTGGGATTTGAAGGTGGTCTCTGTGGGCGGTTTTGGAGGCGGACCCCCAGGGGCCCAGACCCTGAGCTCAGTTAGGGGCCCCAAAATTTCTGGTGGCGGCCCTGGCTGTGATTGGCCAGTGCAGCATGTGACCTAGCCTCTATATATAAGCTGGAGTCGCGTAGCGCCGCACGCACATGTGGTCTTATTAGTGTAGGGAGAGGATGCTGCCGCTGATAGGGACAGCTTAGGAAAGAATTCTGCAAACTAGTACAGTAGTGGGGTGCACTTCATATCTGTGAGTCAAATAGAAGCTTCAAATACCGCGGTTACATCTGAGTTTTAAAAAGTAAAACATTTTTGGTGCGAAATAGTACATTAGTGGCATAGTACATTAGTGGGGTGCACTTCATATCTGAGAGTCAAATAGAATCGTCAAATACTGCTGTCACATTACAGTTTTAAAACGTAAAAATGTTTTGGGTGCTAAAAAGTACATTAGTGGGGTGCACTTCATATCTGAGAGTCAAATAGAAGCGTCAAATACTGCTGTCAAATTGCAGTTTTAAAACGTAAAAATGTTTTGGGTCCTAAACTGCTAAATAGTATTTTAGTGGGATGCACTTCATATCTGAGAGTCAAATCAAAGCGTCTAATAGTGTGCTTACAGCGCAGTGGTAAACATTCTTATTTTCTGGGTGCTAATCTGCTACATAGTACATTTTGGGGCATGCACTTCATATTTGAGAGTCAAATAGAGGCGTCTTATACTGCGGTTACAGCGCAGTTGTAAACATTGTAATTGTTTTGGTGCTAAACTGCTAAATAGTACATTTTGGGGCGTGCACTTCATATCTGAGAGTCAAATCGAAGCGTCTAATACTGCGGTTACAGCGCAATTGTAAACATTCCAATTGTTTTGGTGCTAATCTGCTAAATAGTACATTTGCGTACTGCATTTCATATCTGAGAGTCAAATCGAAGTGTCTAATAGTGCGCTTACAGCGCAGTTGTAAACATTCTAATTGTTTTGCTGCTAATCTGCTAAATAGTACATTTGCGGCCTGCAGTGCACTTCATATCTGGGAGTCAAATAGAAGCGTCAAATAGTGCGCTTACTGCGCAGTTGTAAACATTCTAATTGTTTTGCTGCTAATCTGCTAAATAGTACATTTGCGGTCTGCAGTGCACTTCATATCTGGGAGTCAAATAGAAGCGTCAAATAGTGCGCTTACTGCACAGTTGTAAACATTCTAATTGTTTTGCTGCTAATCTGCTGCTTACATTGGAGTTTTAAAAAGTCAATTTTTTGTAAAAACATTTTGGGGCGCTAAATAGTATATCTGGGGTGTTCATTTCATATCTGAGAGTCAAATCGAAGCTTAACTTTGATTCAAATATACTACATCGGTCACTTGTAATATTGTTTTACACCTACAACACTTGTTACACAGATCTAAGTTATAGAAAACAGATTGATATTTTCTACACTAGAAACTACCAGATAACAAGCTGCTATATTTAAACCAGTGATCAATAGCTAAGAGGTACTTCAACAATATTGTAATTCTGAGGCAATACCCTCACAAGTCAAACTGAGAGGTCAGTTTATAGGGAAAACTGTTGCCTGGAGGAAATTCTAAAACAATTTCCATATGTCCTTTGCAGACTTTACATGCTGGAAAAACACATGTGCCAACTGCTGTGGCTTTCTGCAGTGTGCATACCGGCAAGGAGGGCAGCGTTGAGGAGTGGGTGGAAGATGATGTGGAGGATGATGAGGTCCTAGACCCCACATGGAATCAAAGTCATGCGAGTGACGTGTGCAGTTTGGAGGAAGAGGCGCTGGTCGCACAGAGCCACCAACACAGCATAAGAGGGAGCAGTGTGCAAAAGTGAAGTGGCCGTCCCCTAGCGCTCGTCGGCATGTATTAGCTTGAGAATTACCAGTTATCCAAGTAATATATGTAGCGATCAAAGGATCCATAATAGACTTGAGCGAACTCGAACTGCAAAGTTCGGGTTCATACCAGATATAACGATCCATTCATAGTTTCACAGTCAGGTGGGCAGTCCAGTGACCAGAACCCAGACACTGCCTGGGCAGCGGTCGGAATGACCGGGACCCAGTATGCCTGATGTTGAAGTTAGGAGTCACAGTGTGGAATGGATTAGCAGGGTCTGGTGCAGGGTAACCGCACGCCCCCTGGGGTTGAGCACCAGCGTTTGTGCGGCCACATACCAGGACCCTGATGCAGCTTCAGTAAAAAGAGTAATGGATACCAGAAGCCATCACCAGACTGATCTGCAACTTAGAACAGGATGTGACATTCACTGTAGCGGCTGTGCGAGCTTTTGGCATTGTCACCCTGCTGCTGCTCGCCTGTCTGCGCTGCAGCGTAACTTCGGCCTTCCCGCTCACCGCCTCATGAGACTGTGCGAGCAGCAGCAGGCGATAGTGGAGTTTCAGCTGCAGCACACATGGGTCAGTGGCTCTGCACCTGACTTCCCTCCAATTGATCAGAGTTAAAGGATTTCAAGTGGACTCATTACAATTACAGGGCCTCTAAAGAGTCCTGTATTGTTATTTGTCGTCACTACCTTCCCGCGTCGGGAGTGGGTCATTTGCGTGCCTGCTGCCTTCCTTGCATGTGGTAGCAGTTTCTCAGGGTCCCTGTACAGAATGGAACCTTGATTCCCCATTACCCGTGGTCACCATGGTAGGCACAGAAACTGGCATCGAAAGTTGATATGGATGACATCCGCATGCCACGGGCATGTGCGATTTGCCCGAGGTTCTCTAGAGTAAACAAAGTTCCTGTGCAACTATAATGTCAAGAGATACTCTGCGGAACAGAGTGGTCTTTTTTTATATGTCCCAATATTTTGGGGGCTACCTCAATTAAAAAAAAATATATATATATATATATATATATATATAAACAGTGTTGGCTAGCTCATCCTCCTCCTCTTCTACTGTCACTGCCTCCTCAATCTATGGGTCACTTAGTATAAACTAGGTACACATTAGCAGAGGCTTGTGAAGGCCTTTTCTCCATGCATCAGAAGTTGAGCATTTCTCCATGCATCAGGACTGCAAGAAATGCACCACAGGCCGCAAATGTTTCTTTTTTTGTATGTCCCAATATTTTGTGGGCTACCACAATTAAAAAAAACAAAAAACATAAATAACAGTGTTGGCTACCTCATCCTCCTCCTCTTCCACCGCCACGGTCACCGCCTCCTCAACCTATGGGTCACTTAGTATAAACTAGGTTCACATTAGCAGAGGCTTGTGAAGGCATTTTCTCCACGCATCAGGAGTTGAGCATTTCTCCATGCATCAGGACTGCAAGAAATGCATCGCAGACTGCAAATGTTTCTTTTTTTGTATGTCCCAATATTTTGTGGGCTACCACAATTTAAAAAAAAACATAAACAACAGTGTTTGCTACCTCATCCTCCTCCTCTTCCACCGCCACAGTCACTGCCTCCTCAACCTATGGGTCACTTATTAAAAACTAGGTACACATTAGGAGAGGCTTGTGAAGGCATTTTCTCCATGCATCAGAGTCCTGTATTGTTATTTGTCGTCACGACCTTCCCGCGTCGGGAGTGGGTCATTTGCGTGCCTGCTGCCTTCCTTGCATGTGGTAGCAGTTTCTCAGGGTCCCTGTACGGAATGGAACCCTGATTCCCCGTTACCCGTGGTCACCATGGTAGGCACAGAAACTGGCATCGAAAGTTGATATGGATGACATCCGCATGCCACGGGCATGTGCGATTTGCCCGAGGTTCTCTAGAGTAAACAAAGTTCAAGCGCAACTATAATGTCAACAGATACTCTGCGGAACAGAGTGGTCTTTTTTTATATGTCCCAATATTTTGGGGGCTACCTTAATTAAAAAAAAATATATATATATATATATATATATATAAAGTGTTGGCTAGCTCATCCTCCTCCTCTTCCACTGCCACGGTCACCGCCTCCTCAACCTATGGGTCACTTAGTATAAACTAGGTACACATTAGCAGAGGCTTGTGAAGGCCTTTTCTCCATGAATCAGGAGTTGAGCATTTCTCCATGCATCAGGACTGCAAGAAATGCACCGCAGGCTGCAAATGTTTCTTTTGTTGTATGTCCCAATATTTTGTGGGCTACCACAGTTAAAAAAAAACAAACCATAAATAACAGTGTTTGCTACCTCATCCTCCTCCTCTTCCACCGCCACAGTCACCGCCTCCTCAATCTATGGGTCACTTAGTATAAACTAGGTACACATTAGCAGAGGCTTGTGAAGGCATTTTCTCCATGCATCAGGAGTTGAGCTCAGTTTGAACAGTGAAAGAGAATACCCTGCACTCCAACCATCTCTCAGATGGATAATTCTGGTGATCCTCCTGACAGCCATGCTTCAGATTTTGCTTTATGTTCTTCCAAAGCTAAAATCAAAGATTCCATCTAGTGCTATTTTATGGCTCAGCTGTATTTTTTTATTTTTAGGTATTTTATGTTATTTTAAGTGATTTCAATATCCACATTTGTTTGCAGGGCACTTGTCCTACTCTTTTCCTCCATTTTACTTCCTTTTGCAGCTCTCTAGCCCTTTCCAGGAGTTTTTTAGAGACATTTTTGTGGCCAATAGTTCGGGTCCCCATTGACTTCAATGGGGTTCAGGTTCAGGGTCAAGTTCGGGGTCAAGTTCGAGCCTGAACCCGATCTTTTTTTCAAAGTTCGGCAGAACCAGCCGGACCCGAACATCCAGGTGTCCGCTCAACTCTAGTCCCTTTTATAAAAAATACATCTCTTGCACTACAACTCCAAGACTATACACAATAAAGTGTAGCAGCCCTGTGGCAGTTAAGGGTTACTTTTTTTATTTTTATTTGAGCTTTTCACAAGGTATACAGATAAAAGTTGCTAATCGCAACATGGAAACATCATAACAATTTAAGCAATATTAGCACAAGTTCGCTATTCAACTCTAAGTGAAGTCACAATTTTTACAGTGCTGCCTTTCTTGGGTAACCGCAAGGCACAGTAAACCTTTTTTTTTACACAATGTCCAAAGAATGAAGAAGAAAACAAAACCAGGAATATTAGAAACAGAAACATCACATAAACCATCACCCTAGTTACTTGTTGTTGTGGAATCACAGTGCTCGACGTCAATCCACAGTCATGGTATGATACGGCATATGGATCCATGCAACCTTCGCAGGTAACCTAATTGCATATAACTCCATCAATCCCCACACACCCAAGGCACCTTGCATAATATCTGGTTACTTTCTTTTAACCAGTTCTAAAAAATCAAGTGTCTTTCATTTCAGCCTACTTTGCGTAGCTTACATTTATTTTCCACAAGACTAATATAACACTTGTTTTGTATGGTACTTGTCTTAATCATTATTAAATAAACAACATTATTTTGCAGTCTCCATGCCCTAATGAATTTTGTATTAAATTTTTCTCCCTAGATTTTAATAGAGAGATTCCCTCTAATTTTTATCATTAACCTCATCATCCCAGCCTGCTTCATGATTGCTGTTGATGTATTTAGTATGTTCATGAGTTCGTATAGTGAGAGGCTAAAGTTCAAAATCACTGGGCTCTTAGGATTCTCGGTGCTTTTGACGATTCTGAATGACATGCTCCCTAATTCTGACAGTCCACCAATTTTGGGTATGTATCAATTTATGCTGTAAATGTTTTGCCATTTAGTATTACTTTTTTTAATTGAAATAATTGTGATGTTCAGATGGTCAATATTTTTCCTTTTCTCTCACCTTCATAAGAAAAATTCAACAAGAAAATAAATTGGATGCCCTCCCCCTCCGCCCTAGACACACATACCCTGACTGTAATTTCAGCCTCCATGTACATTTTCCCTGAAAAGGCAGTGTTTACATTAAAATACATGTAGCATCTGACTATAGACACCAGACAATGACATTAAGCTGTACAGAACAGAACAGTGCTGTAATAATTAAACCTTTTTTTTTGTGGAGGCTATGTAAGTCACAGCTAGGGGAGGTGTGGCTATGGTTACATGTATGTATGTAGTGGGCATTGGATGAGATATTCCCCTCAAACCAACCATGAATTCCCCAAATAACGACAGACACTAAAACTTGGATAACAGGCCAGAGCATTTATTAAAACATCCAAATAGTGTATAACGCATTCAAACATATAAAACTGTACATAATAAAACGATCATAAATTAACATATAAATTACGTGCATCATGTCATACATTATGTCCCCTGAATGTAATCAAAAACATCCTTGCCAATCTAACTCACCCCTTCCAAAAAGGCTCTTACCTCCCCCCTCGGCATAATACATTCCTCTTCCCTTTTGGGCTCCCACCAGCCAGCTTTTAGCTCGGTGGGGACACGTCCAACCTGGTACCCCTTAGGTTTCACCATAAGAGACAGGGGAGGATGAGACCTGGCCATTATCCCCTTACTCATCTACCTGCAAGCTATCTCCCACCCTATTTGGCAAGGACATGTCCCCTGCCATAAACCCCTCTGTTTGACGCCTAAAATCAGTGGGGGGCGGCCTGTTCCACCGCCTCCTGGATCGCCAAATTAATGAGGTCGAGCCAGACCTCAGTCAAATGTACCCCATCCGGTCAAAATAAATTTGCCACCTCCTTCTCAAAGACCTGATGATGAATAGGGATACCCTTAACCCCCACGACAAACATTGAAACCCACCTATTGAACTTCTTGTGGAAACACTCCAGCACACTTTGGCTGTGGGCCTGCTGCCAATAGATCCTAGCCACTACTTTGATTATACAGACATCAGGGAACAACATCAATATCTGGGACAAGTCCCTTTTGACCATGTCCACCAAACCCCTAACCGGCACGGTCCCCAGGTCATTGACCCCCAATATGGATGACCAAAACAGATGGCACCACTAGCAGACAAGAGAGCCTGACCAATTCCGGCAGGAGCCGGATCCACCTCATGCCCCTGGCACTGAACCACTGAACCTCTGTGGTTGAAAGCGTAAAACCGAGAAGCTCCCTTCCCAGCCGGACTGCTGCTCGCTGCCATGCCCTGTGGATGCAGTGGAGTGCCCAATCAACCAGACCCTGGGGGGAACCGAACCTGAGGAGGAAAAACATTTAGTTTAGCAGACCCCCTGGAATCCCACCTCCCTATGCTTTGCACCTCTTGACCTGGCATACCAAGTCGAGAAGCCTCCGTCATGGCGCAACTTCGAAAAGAGTGCCCATTAAACGCCACACCCTCCATGCCCAACGAAAATGGGGCCAGACAGTGCAGGGCGAACCCCGCAACAATTCTGAAAAGACAAGAATGGGTAGGTGGCCAACCCCACTTACTCTTTACGAACACGTCAGTCTTGGAGCAGCGAATCTTAAAGGATACCCGGTCCTGCCCCTCCTGAACATCAGACAAAAGGAACCCCCAACAGCCAATCTGTTCGGACACACCAACTCCCCAATCCTCATGGCCCCAAAGAATGCGAACGAAAAGGCGAGGCGAAACAGCCGCACCTCAAAGTCTGAGAAATACACCTGCGGGAGCACCTGGCACAACTGTGCCAGGAGGGCACCTGGTACCGGCCTTCTAGAATCCACAGAGACCTGACCCCTGCGCAGACCCTTAACTGCTTGCTGCACCAGAAACTCCTTGGTCTCATCCCTCCAGCCATAAAATGTAAACAGAAACAAGAAGCTAAGGCACGTCACCGGCACCGTCGTATCACTCCGAAGCAGCCAAACAACCTTCCCACCGTGTCGAGCAAGATTCGACATGACGGGGAATTCACGGGTCCCACACACTGAAAGTCGTCGAGATAGTGCAGCAGCGAGTTGTTCCCCGACTTCAGCCACACCACCCACTCCAGAAGACTGCTGAAGCATTCAAAGTAAAAACAGGATATGGAACAACCCATTGGGAGGCACATATGCACGTAATACCGGCCATCGAAAACACAACCAAGAAGGTGCAGTGGCAGAGCACAGACAATAAGCAAAATGCTGATTCAACGTCCACCTTTGCCAGCAATACCCAGGGTGCACCGTCCTGATCATGCAAACAGCAGCATCGAATGAAGCGTAAGACACCCGACACAGGTCCTGAGAGATAGCATCATTCACGAACCCCCCTGAGGGTCCGACAAATGTTGAATTAGGCTAAATTTCCCCGCCTCCTTCTTGGGCACCACGCCCAAGGGGGACACCAAAAGGGACATCAAATGGCCCCACCAAACGCCCCAGCGGTACCTTCTCTGGAGCTTGTCCAGGACCACCTCAAGAAAGTCCTGCACCGATTTCAAGTTCCGAACTACCCCTGAGGGCCCCTGAGGACAGGCACTCCGAGAAGGGAATCAAGAACACATGTACAAACCCTTCCATAACTAATCCTGCTGTCCGACGGTTTCTATAACGGTTGAGCGAGGGGGGCATCTCTTTTACCACCACCGACGCCCTTAGCTCCCAGATCGCCCTTGTTCCCTGGCTTAAAACAGCGCAAGACCGAGTGGAAGCATTCGTGTTTATACCAGCACGTCGCACCCCACTTGCACTGACTGTCACTGAACTTCCAACAACAGCCTGGTCGCTGATGTGTGGCCGATGGGACGGAGCCGCCCCTCCACTGGTTCCCCCAAGAAAGGAAGACATTCCCCCTTGGTGTGCTAATGAATTCATACACAGACTGCTGTATACAAAGACTGCTGAATACACACACATAAAGACTGCTAAATACATACACACAAAGACTAAACTCACACACAAAGACTGAACTCACACACAAAGACTGCTGGATACACACACAGACTGCTGAATACACACACAGACTGCAGTGATGAGGGATGGAGTGTGTACTTGAGGGTTGTAGTGTGTGTGTGTTTGTATAAGGGGTGCAATGTGTGAGGGGGTGATGAGAGAGCAAAAATGTATATATTTATTGAAAAGAAAAAAGGCATTATGTCCCCCCAACCCTTCTTCTTACTTACAGCTGCAGGCTGCCTTTACTCCTCCCACGAGCTGAGCAATCTGTGTCGGAGCACTGCCATGGTGACACGCAGCAATTCTCCGACCTGCCTGCTTGCGGAAGGAACCCACAGCCTCCCAGGTCCTCCTCACCCCTGAAACTTGTTTGTTGGCCGGTGAGGGAGATCTTTGATCTCCCCACCAGACCAAGAAAGCAGATAGTGAGATTGGCTCTGCATAGACCAGCGTGGGAGATTAAATGTTGTCCTTGCATCCCGCTTGGGTCCCTATATTTGTGGGGGCCCCAGGCAACTGCCCGGAGAGCCTATGTAGAACAACTCTCCAAAATGCAGCAAAATTAAATTGTAAGTAGTTTTGTTTTTTTGTTGTTGTGTTTTTTTATGATGAGTGATTTATGGAATTTTCCTCTTACAAATGTATTTCCTTTCCTCTTATGTCCCTCCATGTGATGTTGCGTCTTGTGATGTCACATACTGTGATGTCACACATATTAATAATTCAAATTAGTATTGGCGGTATTTTTTTCAAGGCAACCCCAGAGACATACAGAGACATAAAGAGGGTAGATATGCATGTACTAGGCTGTGTCTATAAGAGGAGTGTGTGGGGTTATTTGTGTATATGTAATATGTATCTCTAACAGGGTTAAACACTAAAGTGAGATTTCAAAGTGAATTTCTAATTTATGGCCAAACTTACATTTTTCCTGGATACTCCAGGCCAGATGGCAGAACAGATCAGAGGGAGGGGAATCAGATTGTGTATGGGATCCTGCACTACATTTCTACCAGTGTATAGGGCTATTGCTACCATATGGCACACCGGCTCAAGGGCGCAGTATCTGACTGAACGGCAGGAGGGAAGTGTACTGCACAACACTCCCTTCCTGCCAATCTCTGTATGTAGTGTGGCCGAGCTACTGACAGCACCAAAGTGCTTCCTGTAAGACCGGGGAGAGGGAAACAAGCTTCTCTCCCGCAGTCCATGCTTGGTTACGGTACACAGGAGTAGGAAAGTAGGAAGGTAAGCAGGTAAGACTTATGGGGAATGGAGAAGATGAAATGAGACACATGGGGTCTGGCGGAATGAGACACATGGAGGGGCTTGGGAAATGAGACACATGGGGGGACTGCGGACTGAGACACATGGTGGACTGGGGAATGAGACACATGGGGACACTGAGGGATTGAAGCACATGGGGACACTGGGAGGTTGAGACACATGGGAACACTGTGGGATTTAGACACATGGTGACACTGGGGGATTGAGACACATGGAGACATTGGAGGATTGAGGCCCAAGGGGGCTAGGGGAATGAGACACATGGGAGGGCTGGGGGAATGAGACACATAGGGTGCTGGGGAATTGAGACACATGAGGACACCACATGGGGGGACTGGGGAATTGAGACACATGGGGATGCCACATGAGGGATTGAGACACATGGGGACACTGGGGGGATGAGATGCATGGGGACACTGGAGGAATTGAGACACATGGGGGACTGGGGATTGAGACCCATGGGGGGGACTAGGGGAATGAGACACATGATGGGACTGGGGGAATGAGACACATGAGGGTCTGAGGGAATGAGACATATGGGTGGCTGGGTAATGAGACACATGGGTACACTGGGAGTATTGAGACACTTATGCAGACTGGGGGATTAAGACATATGAGTACTGGGGGACTGAGACACAAGGGAGGACTGGGGTATCGATACACATGAGGGGACTGGGGGCTCGAGACACATGGGAGGACTGAGAGATCAAGACACATGGGGAGCTGTGGGATAGAGACACATGGGGTGACTGTAGGAATGAGACACATGGGGGGGCTGGGGGCTTGAGATACATGGGGGACTGAGGGATCGTGACACATGGGGAGCTGGGGGATCGAGACACATGGGGTGACTTATGAATGAGACACATGGGGGTGACTGTGGAAATGCGACACATGGGATTAACTGGGGGACTGAGACACTGGGGGAGATGAGATACATGGCGGGGCTGGGGCACACACAAAGTGACAAATAGAGGCTGGTGGAGAAAGAGATATGGTGCTGTGGGGAAGAGACATACAAATGGGACTGTGGAGAGAAAGAGACACACAGAGAGGCTGGGCAGGTTGGGAAACAAGCCACAGAGGGTCTGGGGAAGGGGCAAAAGAGACCAATAGAGACTAGGGAATGGGGCAAAAAAATCAGATAGGGGCTGGGGGGTGACACCCAGAGGTTCTAGGGGGACACAGAGACACACAGAGAGGTTGGGAAAGAGACACACAAAGAGACTGGAGGAAGAATGAGACAGACAAAGGGGCTGGGGTAGAAAGAAACTCCCAACAGGGCTGGGGGAGAAAGAGACACACAAAGTGGCTGGAATTAGAAAGAGACACACAACGGGGTTGGTGTAAAAAGAGACACGCAAGTGGGTTGGGCTAGAAAGAGACACACAAAGGGGCTGGAGGAAAGCAAGAAACACAAAGGATGAGGTGTAAGAGACACAAAGGGAAATAATGGGGGATAAGATATACTAAAGAGGAGTGTTAGACAAAAACGGGAGGATAAGAAACACAAAAGGTGTAAGAAATTCAAGAGGGGTAATTAAGGGACACATAGGTGACAATGCATTTTTTTTTTTTTATCCTTGCACCGGTCCTACTAGTGTATATGACTCCATGTGCATATTTGGAATTTAAATAAGTAGCACATTGATCCATGTCACTGTCATCATTGTCATACATACAGATTGAGCACTGCTAGTTCAGTCTGAATACTGTCAGATTAGCTATTGCTGCCGATCGGTGCTGTTAAGAGGTAATTCTGTTCGGCTGTGAGAGCTTGGGCTGATTAGAACAAACTATGTGTAATTGCATACACTACCAGCAATAGTATCGTGTATGTATATAGAAGGAATATTTTTGATGTTACTGGAGCTTAGTCTCTTGCCAATCTGAATAGGAGTTAAATCATTTTTGTTTCAGTTTATGCAGTCGTCGCCACACCTCCCCTGGATGTGACTGACACAGCATGCATGAAAAAAAAAAATGGTTACATTTTTAATCAGTTCAATAAATTCTTATCCACTGCACTGTTAATTGAATTTCAATCAAACATGAAGGGCTGCTGAAGGCATAACAGGAGACATAAAATAACAGGAGACAATTCTAAAATAAACACTCTGTGCAGTCAGGATAGCTAAAAAAATAGACTCTTTTCAGGAAGTGTGTAGGGAGGCTGTGTAAATCTCAACCAGGGGAGATGTGGCTAGAGCTGTATAAATAACGTGATTTAACTTCAAAATGACATTGAGTTAAACGGGGATATTGCAGTTTCGTGATCTATACACCATAACCACTACATTAAGCTAAAGTTACATTAAGCTGAAAGATGCTCAAGTTATATTGGTGTTTAGAGTGTCCCTTTAATGATCATAAAATGGGTTTTAGCGGTTATATGTTAGTGTCTGCAAACGAGATAAAACTAGGTAAGGCAATACAGTCTGAAAAGAATATTACTTCTCGCAACAAGCTAAATATGTTTTTGATTCTTAGAGTGTCCCTATAACACCAAAGTAGCAAAAATGAAAGTATAACTGACTTGATTAATTTGTTCCAGTTTGGCTATTTTGTCCTTATATTTGAAATTCACATTCCCAAAAATGATCACTTTAGTGAATAACTCTGTCTGTGAAGAAAGGGTTTTGTGGGTATATTTTTTCAAATATAAATCTTCTCTCTTTTCTACACAGGTATATTCTGCTGTGTATGCATGGCACTGATGATTTTCAGTATAGCTGGCTGTGTGGGTAACGCCTACATGATGGACCTATCTTTAAAAGAGAAACATGTCCCTCAATGGATGAAAACGTTAATTCTGCACCGTTTAGCAAGTATACTGTACATGAAGCCAAATGCAGTAGAGAGCAATCAAGTCACAGTCGTCATAGAGAATACAGGTGAGTTTAGGCAAAGAAAAGGTGTTAGTATTAGAACTCTTGAGGTTCAATGTTACCAGAGTACCAGAGTTTAGGATATAAAAGTGGACTAGCACATGTTAAACTCCTAGATTCTTACAAACAAAGCTTCTTCAGGCTGCAAAGAGTGGTTCCAGGCCAAAATCAAAACTGTCAGGAAATCAAAGCCAAGTGAGAGGGAAATAAATATTAAGTAGCATAAATGTAGACTAGCATAAGCCAAGACCTCATACACCATGGCTTGACAAATTCTGTAGTCAGACAGGTGAGGGACCTGTGTACTTCCTACTCTGCTTCTTCACATGCCGCTTAATGAGGCTGAGGTTGAGTGATGTCATATTCTGGCTCCAGCCTCACTAAGCGGTGCGCGAGGGAGCAGAGTATAAAGATCACAACTCCTTCGCAGCCTGCCTACAGAACTAGCAGCCAGTCGACAGCCCATCCCAGAGGGAAAGAGCTCACAAATCCCAGGATTTTGGTCTTTGTCGAGCCCTGTCATACACAATGTTATTTTTCCATTTATTAATTCTTTTTGATTGCAGATTCCCATGAAACAAATAAAGAAGGGATTCATGAGAAAATGCTAAATAGTTTGAAGAAGGATTCACAAAAAATAAAAATCAGTCTGGAGGCAGAGATACTAATGAAGATATTGACAGAGATTGATAACATTCGAGAAAACTCCAGGAAGCCTAGAGGCCCATTCAATAAGGAGTCTGAGTGGTACTTTGCAGCATTGGTAGTGGATCGCATTATATTCATTGTTTATCTTATCTTAGTAATTACTATATTTCTCATTATGATTATTTCATGGGCACAGTGAATTAAAAGGAAGACAGAATTTACGCAAGGCATCCAATTACAAACCAGACATTTTACCTTAAATAAACAATATAGTGTTAGGAATACAAACATGTATTCCTGACACTATAGTGCTGGAATGGCTGTTTAGTTCCTGAGCCCACCTCTGATTGCAGTGAGAAGATTTTTAACTGCGTCGCCAGTATCGCCACAATTGGCCCCCACCTCTATGACTGAGATCGGCAATCTTGATCATCAATCACACTGAGCATCTCTGAACTGCAAATTTTAGTTTTAAAACCCTAATTCATTTTTTTGCAATTAAAATCCTAGACATATATATATATACAATCAAGACTAAGTGAATATATATTGTTAATTGTCTTTAGCTGAACTTGTTGTACACATTATTAAATGCAAAACTGAGAAATATGGGTTTATTTTTTTCCTTTTTTTTATATTGTATTCATATTTAATGCTGTATCATGTATACAAATAAGGTATCAAAAGAAAGCCCTTTTTCTCATTAAACCATTTAGGGGCCACATCTACGGTCTATCCAAAGCTTTAGTTCCCAGTGATGCAGTAAAAAATACCAGCACAAATTAAATCCCTGCTGGTACCAAGGAACCCCAGGAATCTTTTGATACCTCTAGGAATAATATATAGGAAAGGCATACACGATATCACCATCACAATTGGGGTGCGGGGAGGTCGTTGGGGCACTAATAACTTACATATCATCACAAATCATACAACTAATAAAATTTAATAAATTATTTAATACATTTTTGTTTTCATTCAAACTCTATAGTGAGACACACAAAGTGTCTACTTTAAAGGTTTATTAAAGACATTCAGTAGAAAACAAAGTAATTAAGTGGGTGACTAATTTAATTAACGTTGTGCGTTGTACATTTTTAATTTCTACTGTTTTCTTACTGGCAGTTAAACACATATTTATTGCACAACTAAACAGGTCTCTTTATATCAATCTTAATTAAAAAATAGAATAATTCCTCGTTCAGTTCCCCAGCCATGAATACAGTGAAGGCAGTAATCAAGTGTATTGTAAAACTGTCCATTTAACTTTAATCTCTTTGTTGCTGTAGGAGATTAATTTAATATAGTGTAATACAAAATAACAGAAATTCATGCAAGAACTGCTTAAAGGAGCACTATAGTTTCAGGAATACAAATATGTATTCCTGACACTGTAGTTCTAATAGCAATGTTTTGGTGGCCGGCCCTGCTCTCCCTACAGTTAAATTCACCTTTTTCCAGAGCCGCGCAGGTCCGTTGCAACTGGCTCCACCCCCGCTCTGACTTTTTGGCTTAGATCATCAAACTTGGAAAAAATTGGGAGGCTATTGCACATCTGCAGCAAAACGCCATGCTGCACCCATGTGACATGTTTTGACTGGAACTGCAGCTTGGCCACAAGCTCTACCTCGACCCAGTCAATTTACCCCACTGTTCTGACCTCCTTAGCAGAAGGCTAGGAGGGGAGGCACAGGCCATCACTAGGAACAATTGCTCTCTGAGAGCCAGGGGATGCCCCTTTCTTCAGTCCACAGGAACCCCCCGTAAAATGACTGTAACCTAGGCACCACCGATCTTGATTGCATTTTTGGCTAGGACATTCCTAGCAGACAGTTCAAAATTTGACTGCCTGGCATTTCCACAATTCGCATGTATCAGAGCACTATCTTCTCAGGCTATTTGGAAATGTATGGGGTTCAGGTTTGTTATGTTGTGATTTTGGGAGATATTGTATTTTGGGATTCTCTGTGCCTGGGAGATAATTAGATTAGTGGTGGATGTTGCTATCCCAGACACATAGATACCAGGGTGGTATCTGCTATCCTAAATCCTGCTGCAGACCCCATGCTGGGGTATGTGTATATAAACCTACATTGTTCTCAATAAAACCAGTTGTTATCACCAGCATTATATGTCGTCGGCTGTCTGGGCAAAAGGGGCTATAAACAGATACTAATGAAGATATTGACACTCTTCTTCCACCTATGAGGAAATTCCAGCAGAAATATCCAGTAGAGATATAGGAGCTCTGCTACAGAGGTAAACACAGCAAGTTCCTTCAATACATCTGCCTCTGATTCTTGGATATGCGGGGATAAGATTATATCACATCTGTCATATCTTCTCTGATTCTATCACATATTCCAGTCTACATCTTTCATGTGGGCTTTGTAACATATGTCAGGGGGACATTACCAAATTTACACTCTAAGGTCTCATATCTCGCAATAGTCCCAGATTAGGCAGGACTTGTCACAATTCTGACTTTATTTTTTTTTATTTTGTTTTACAAAAAGTGCAGATTTCAATAGAAACTGCCACTTTTATAAATGTACGTTGTTACACCCCACTGGGTGTGGGGTTTGCAAAGGCTACATAGAACTGAAGCTTTTGCAAGCTATTTTAGATATAAAACCAATGAAAAAAAAATCATAAATAAATGCATGTATGTTTTTCTTGTGGCTAAAACTACTAAATAGTGATTTATTTATTTTTTTGGGACAGTGACATATGCCCTTAATGGTGTCATGAAACTAGGACCAGGCTGTTAGGTCCCTTTCTGAGTGGACCACCCACTTTGTGGACAAACCCACTACGTTCTCAGGCAGACCTGAATTGAGAGGTATGTGGTCTAGCAAGGTGAATAGGTAATGGACCCACACGGAACCATGCTCGTGTACACAACCCTGAGAGTGTAACTTAAATTAAAGTTACATTTCATTATTAAGTGTTTTTATAGAATAGCTGTATTTATGTTTTTGTAACAGTGCTTTTGAATTGAAAACTGTAGACTAAACCATTCCTGTATGCCTCAATTTCAGGCTCTACAGTCCACCTGTGACAGGGAGGGGCACAAAATGTGATTTGGCCTATACTCCCAAACTTATTCTCTAAATATACTTTACATTTTAAAACAATATCTTTCAAACTTATTTTTTTGTTGCTTTTTTTTCTCGTCATTTTCCTTTCTTGCTTTTCTCTCACCCCACCACTTTATTATTAATATCATGATGTTGTTATTACTTGCTGTAAAGGTAAATAAAAAGTAACTGAATCTAAATTGGCACCTGTTTCACCCAAGGGAGCGTCCAATCTTTAGTTATAGCTTTACTTGTACCCCTGTTAGACTGTATTGTGTTGTAGTGTTTTTTTTGTGGATAATGAATATACAGATTGTTAAAACATAAATATATAAGACCATCTCTGCCGCAGGAGTGTATCATTCTTGCTTTTAGCCTCTTTAAATACCTAATATATGACAGACAAGTATTAGGGATAAGGACCTGTTTTGTATTTATGAAACCAAGAGACTGGTCGTGGACCAAATTTTCCTTCAATCATAGTGAAGGGCTTGATTTTCACTTAGCTCCTTCACACTAAGTTACAATTTGATAGGACAGACCAATCAGGAAAAAATAAATCTCACACAAACTTCTACTGTACCTTAGTGGAGCATTGAATGCCTACGATTGCTGCTACGTGCAAAGTTAATTTAGGGACAAGTATCAACGTTCAGCATTTATTTTTCTGGCTCTTCCTCTCCTCCACAATCCCTCTTTGTCGGTATTCCCCAAGTTTTTGTCCTTGGTCCCTTACTGTTCTCAATACATGCCGCCTCCCTTTTTTTTCTTTTTTCTATCTGTCCTTTTCTGATCTCTCACAGTCTCTCTTGACATGTGTCTCTGACGGTCTCTCTGCTATTTCCAACTGAATGGCTGCTCATTTCCTTAAACTGTACCTGTCCAAAACAGAGCTTCTTGTCTTTCCTCCCTCAAGTTTCTGTCTCCCTCCAAGTCAATGTAACTACTATTGTTTTTACCTCATAGGCTTGAGCCTTGGTGTTCTCTTCAACTCCATCTTCTTCTTCACCCGTCAAGTCTATTCACGTGCAAAATCCCACCACTTCTATCTCAAAAACATAGCTTGCATCTGCCCCATCTAATGCCAGATGTGGCCATGGTGTTGGTCCATGCCTGTATCATCACTCTGTTTGACTACTGCAATCCGCTTCAGTGGACTAAAGCATTCCCAGCTGGCCCCGTTACACTCTCTAATGAATGCAGTGGCAAGGCTAATCTTCCTGTCTGCCCACACCTTTCATGCCTACCCTTCTGTCAGTCCTTACACTGGCTTCCCATAAGTTATAGGGCTCAATTTAAAATTCTGGCTCTTGCTTACAAATCTCTGTACAACACTGCTTCTACCTACTTATCCTTATTAATTCACAAGTATATTTTGTCCAGGCCACTCCGCTCTGCCGAAGATTTGCATCCATTCTCTTTTCCTACTCGCACCTGTGATGCCTACCTCGAAGACTCTTCTAGGGCTCTGCCATCCCTGTGGAACTCCCTTCCCCGTTCCGTCATACTCTCACCCAGTCTCAGTTGCTTCAAAAGATCATTAAAAACTCACTACTTTAGGAAAGCATATCAATTAAATTGTTAATAGATTTCCTTCCCCGCACCTTGGTAACCCACCTTGCTTCCTCTCTTGCAACAGTGTCATCTAATAAACTAACACTTCACTGGGTTTGTCAACCTTGGCCCTGATAAGCACCTCGATTCCTAAGTGTAAGTGCAGTAAACTCTGTTTGTGAATTACTTTAGTACGAATGATAGCTTGGGCAGTTGTTGTGAAAGGCACCTTCCAAGTAACAGATATCAATTTAACTGAGCAGACTTTGCTCCAGAACACCTTTCATATTATTAATCGTGTTAGTTGCAGGATCTTGAGCTCATTGAAATCTTTTATTTGAGCAGATTACATGACTTATACTGCTGCAAAAGGGCAAACTATTAATTTGGCTCCTCCAACACACTAAAAGTCCTTACTTAAACAAAAAGTGATATCTGGGGCACATTGCAAGCTCTCGAGGGAACCATTAGATATAGTAAAGACTGCAAGCTTTTAAGTGAACAAATTGTGATATCAAGAGAATAATACAAATTCTTAATAGGGTGGTGTTGAAGTTTAGAACATATTACAAGCTCTTAATAGACCACTCCACACACATTGACTGAGCTGCCAATGCCCTCCCCTCCAAATCTGGTAGTGCGCTGTGCACTCCTATGCAGACACATCCACATAACTCATTGTACCTCTGAATCCCCAGTACCTTCTTTCTCCTCTGCTCCTAGTCCTATCCAGCTCCTGCGTCGTCCACTGTTCTCCTCCTCGACGCCTGCACATAGAAAGTGCATGTGCAGCTGAGAATCAGAGGCTCCTCAAGGAGGAGGGCTTGCAAAGGCTTCAAGCGTCTGATCTGCACTTTTGCAAGTCCTTTTCTTTTCTTTTCTACATATATACCCTGATGAAAACATGCAGCAAAAATGCATGCATACTTTCTTTGGGGATATATTAACTAAACCATGAATTGTTAAAAGAAAATCGTGTGGAGTGTTCCTTTAACTGAATAATCTCCTAGATCCAGAACAGATTGATCAGACTAAATAATCTAGAACTTAAAAAAAAATCTCTTAACTGAATCATCTAGAAACATAAATGTCTCCATTTGGCAGACTCGGAAATCTGAGCTATACTGTAAGCATGCTGCAAGGACAAATACATATTGCAAGCTAAAAATTGAATACATTCTCATTTTTCTGTTACAGAAACTGCTTACATGAGAAATCAAGTAAGCAGTGATATAAAGAGGGTATTGTTCAGATTTAAAACTAACCCCATAGTTATGAGGTAACTGAAACAGAGCAAAGGGCTCCTTCCAAAGCACTTCCTATTTTAACTCTAGATTCTGCGTGCATGATCTCAGCCTCTTAGTGGCTGTCCTACTCATCATGATAACCTTCTGTTGAAGTCTTCTGTCAGTCATTCGTAAAGATTCTGCTGATCGGTGATTGGATGACGTTCGATAAAAAAATTTGAGACATCAAATTAAAAATAAACTGAGCAAATTCTGGTTAATAGTGTACAAGAAATATTTCCAACTTGAGGCAGAAAGGTTAAGTTTAATACCACATCCTCACATAAGTCTTACTTTACCATTAAAGCTAAGATGTAAAATCAAATTTAGAGAGAGAGAGTGAGAGTGTGTGTGTGTGTGTGTGTGTGCGTGCGTGTTTTTTTGTTTTGTTTTTATATATCTACTACCCTATTGTGCTTTATACCCAACCTCCTCTAGACTGTAAGCTCATTTGAGCAGGGTCCTCTTCAACCTATTGTTCCTGTAAGTTTTTGTAATTGTCTCATTTATTGTTAAATCTCCCCCTCTCATAATAATGTAAAGCACTACAGAATATGCTGACGCAATATAAATATCAGTAATAATAATAATACATCATACATTGTTGTACAACTTTGTAAGGCATTAAATGAATCTTCCATGCAACATTATAAAAATCTTTATTTTCTACTCTCAATGTTCGTACGATTACTTCTACACCAAGGTGTACATTGTTTAACATTTTGATACAGCCTCAGCACATTTTCGTAAATTTACACACAATTTACCAGCAAAATTGATCGTTTCAATAAATATCTGCATTAATGTAAGAAAATAGTACAGT